ACCACTACAGATCGGCCATGTCACAGCAAGAGAAATTTGGCAAGTCTAGAATCATAATAATATGATACAGTAATATCAACATTCAATGTTTCTGTCACTGACAGTAGAGGAAATCACTGAACTGAGGAAAAAGTTGAATAAATGATTTCATAGTATACAATCTTTCTTGAAAATTTATATTTATTCAGCTGGTAAAGGAATGTAGGTGGGGAAATCTTTTGGGAAAATCAATAGGAGGGCCATAAAGAAGATAGGAAGATAACATTAAGATGGATTTTAGGGAGATAGGTGGATGTTAGCGGCTTTGTATTTAATGTAATTATGTTTTCTGGTATTGAGAGTGTTGAGCCTTCAAGTTCTGCTGCCACAGTGTTAATCATATTTTGGCCACATATTTATCGTTTTTGAATCAGAATCAACCAATGTACTAAGAAAAAAACTTAATTATAGACATCCTTTACATTTTTGTAGAAAATTGTTTAGTTTGAAATTATTATGCAGATGAAGGAGATACATGGATTTTTCCACTTGTGGAAATGGGACAACTAGGATTTCATCAAGACAGCTGTGTGACGAAGTGGATGTTTGAGACTGCTTTACCAGGTTCTGTCATACACCTTGCCACAGGGTACTTTAACCCCACACAGGATTATATTACTTCTGTGATCAGACACTCTGCTGCAACATACAGCATTCTCATGGCTCATCCCACTGTGAGTATTACAAGATGCAGAAGGAATATGCTGTAGATTTTGTGCTAGTTTGGTTGCAGTGCCAAATTATTTTGTTGCTGACTTAGCAAGTTAACTGTGTGGCAGAAATCTATGCACAGAGTCTTTGTATCAAACAGTACATACTGCAATCCCAGTTGTGATTTTTGCACTGGTTCTCCAGCTGAAAACTAGGATCTTACCATAATATTATGTTGAGTATTCTAGGTAGTTGGTTCATTACAATCTTGGCAGACCATTTGAAACTATTTTTTTTCCAGAATTATATATGCTGTAGTCATTCTTTCAGCAATGCAGACTAGTCTGTTATATTTGATGAAAGAATAAAATCTTGTTGTCTTGTGTGGTATGTGCCAGTTTTATAGGATATACTGTTGTTTTGTTGGTCTGCCAATTTTACACGTATTTTGTTATTTATTTCAAATACTTTATGTAAAACTCAAGTTTTCATTTTTAAAGATCATATTGTAATCATTAATCAAAAGTGGAAGTGTAACCCATACCTTTCAGAGAATATGATTACCTTATTAATTAGCAGCCATCCCATATCTGTAACCTTTTGGTCTCTCCACATTTGTTAATGGCCATATTTGAACTGAGCATCAGATATCTGGGGTTCAGTTCCTTAAAACACCAGTTGTTGCTCCTACTCATATTTCAGGACAACAGAGAACAAGCAGATGCATAAAATTTTGGAATATTATTGTTATTGATAACAAACAAGCCTTTAATAGATACATATTTTTGGTTATGGTTTATTCTTCTTCAGCTACCTTTCAGGAGGTCTTCAGGTTGCCTAAACAAATGTTTGAATAGCACCCTACATTAAGCCACAACCTTCCTTCCATATCCTTTCCAACTGCATATTCATTAATTGCCCTATTATTTGATGATGTATAGTCTGAGTCACTGTAGCATCTTTAAATAAGCCACAGATAAATAAGTGTTCCTCAGCTGCCACAGATTAAGACTCTGTGACAGTGTTTTTTGTTTTAGTTTATTTTAAAAATGATTAGTTTAGTTTTAGAAACAGTGTGGTTTTTTTGTTGTTCTTTCCATTTTTTGGTCAGAATTGCTTTGCTTTTAACATTTGTATATAATGTGGACAGGCAAATGGTTTCTTGGGAGCACGTGGGCTAGCAGGTGGAATCCCAGCAGGCTACACATTGGTAGCATCAGAATTCCTTAAACAAGTGGAAACCTCTGAACAAGAAAACCGCATACAAATGGCAGAATTCCAAAAAGAGGGCTGGACTTATCATGCAAAGGGATTGTGGTACACACTGCCAGGTCAACGCTTACCGATTCTAACCTTCATTGGCTCCCCTAATTTTGGTGTGTTTGTCATAATTTCGTGTTTCTTCCATGAGTTAATATAATTTTGTTTAAAAATTCAGACTGAAGATGAATAATACTAACTCTTTAAAGAACAAAGCTCATTCAAATAATATTTAATAATGTTGTTTGTACCTTCAAGAAAAGATACCCCTGACCACTACAAAAATAAGTGTTGTAATAATGTTTTGGAAAGTTAGTTTTGCTATTAATTCTAAGAATCAAATGAAACCTGTGAAGATATTAAGTGGGTGTGCTACCAAGTTACTGAATATTAAAGCATGCCAGAGAACCTTTCCATATCAGAGGCCCATTCCAGGTGTATCACTGACAGTTGGTTTGGTTCGCTTTTTGATTTAGATGTAAATTGTACTTCAGGTCTTGCCATTGCATAACTCACTAGCGTCTCACCATAGAGGTCAAGATTGCTCAAAGGACAGTCTGTATGAGATTTGTGGTGGACAAAGTTGAACTGTGTTAGGTTCTTCTCTCCATCTATGTTTTATATTCACTCACATGTCACTTCAGGATAGACGGTGGATCCGGTCGCCTCAAAAATTTGACAGAAACATAGTGTGACCTCAGTGTAACAATAAAAAAGAAACACATATAATTTGCAGACATTCTTATCATAATAGGTTTCATTATGAGATTCAGTATGTTGTTTTCTTCAACAGGGTATCGGTCTGTAGACCGGGACTTGGAGACACAGATAGCAATTGTGACAAAGAATCCACATCTACAACAGAGTCTCCTGGAGGAGAGAGAACGTCTGTATGCATTAGGCAATCCATTCACCAGTGAAACATTGTCAAAGCCTGATAGGAAATATGCCCCAATATGGGTTCATGTAATAATGCGATTTTTCCGCAGTCTCTTCTAGATTCTTCCATCTCATAATGTGATAGTTGTAATAAAATGAATTTCAAAAACTACATACTTCAGTAACGTGTAAGTTCATCAAGAAGAGCAGTCAGAATGGAATTTACCATAATAAAGAGTATTTGAAAGGAAAGACTGTAGTAACATAACAGTAAATAAGTACATACAATTTACTTCAGTTTGCAGTGTGAATAATTCTTAGAAGACAAAGGACTGTGGCTGTTTTGTTATGACAGTTATGTTACGTGTTGTTTATTATCTGTTTTGGAAGTGTGATGTATTCCTGTTTTAAGGTGAGTGGATGCTATTGTTATACTGTTTTTGTTACTTTTATCATTATTTATATTGATATATTCCCGCGCCATAGCCGCGCGGTCTGAGGCATCATGCTTCGGACCGGCGATAGGGAATGCGCGCTGGTTCGAGTCTCGGGGGAGAGGAAATTTTCTCATGAGCTTTCGACCAGTGTATGGGACCGGTGCCAATCCAGCATCGTGAGGAAATTGAGGAGCTACAATAAGTAGCGTAATCCGGTCAGGAAAGCTAGCAATGGCTGGTGGTTCATTGTACTGACCATACGTCACCCTATATCTGGTTGGATGATCATTCACCTCTGCTTAGACATGTGAACGTGAGGCCAGCAGTCAAGCTCTCTGGCGCTGTTACGCCACGGATTTAATTTAATTTTTATATTGATATAACATTTTTTATTTTTGTCTCGATATTTTTAGAAATTCTCTCCCATGATATTCCTAATATCCGTTTCATTTTTGGAAGACAGGTGCAAATAAGACGTATGTGTAGGCTTGGTAGCTGTTCAGGTGAACATGGACTCCTTAATTTTTATCTGACCTTGTTTCATGATGTGCAGATGAATTATCTGATGTTGAGATTTAAATGGTCTTCTCTCTATGACTTATGTTTTAAAGTTATACTTTCTATCCCTTATGCAAACCCCTTCCATGTCATTTATTCAACTTTACTTTTTTCTTAATTCTATTTTGGTATGTCCTGTTCAGACTACCTTCCGCATTCATTATTCTCTTGATTCTTTTTCCTGTACATAACTTTTCTCAGCTTTCCCTTCCATAGCAACCCCACCTGTTCCTCTTAATATACCTTCCTCTACTTTAATTTCTTCAGTCCTTTTCCATCCCATTTCTGATATTTGCTGAAGTTTTATTATCAGGAGAGTCAAGTAGAGTAATGGATATGTTGGAAGTAGAGAACAGTCTGTGAATTCAAGGAGAGAATATTTTAGGTCAAGTCAATTAGATGATAAGAAAGTGGATAGGGTCTTGGAAGCAGCGGGCTGTAAAGCATCGGAAAAGGGGTGGACAGTAATACTTTAGGCTTGTTGATGTATGAAAATATGTAGTAAATTAAAGAAAAGGAAGTCCAGCGTTGCTTAACGTGCGTTTTAATACATGAATTATCAATCACGTAAACATCCCCTCCGCCTTTACGGAGCACAAAAATATTGTAACGTGGGTCGGCGTTGCGACCTTGGATTGTCAACCCTGATTTATTCACGTCAAATTAAATCAGTTACAGTGGTCTGCACATACAGTCATCTCTCTACAACAACAACAACAATTATAAATGAATACAACAATGTCATTAAACAGACACAATAATGTCTAACGCAACAATGGCTATAAACAAATACAACAATGCCAGACGCGACAATGTCAATAAACAGACAACTAAACTGTTTATTGACATTGTTATGCTGCTCTCAAGGCAACACGTCACATTATTCAGTCTGGGCAATGCTCAAAAATTTAATGTAACGTGTAAAGAGTGTAATCATATATATGACATAGCACAGACACAGATGAAAAGGAAAGCTAATCAAGGAAATATATTTCAAAGTGTTGTAACCTGTGGTTCCACGTCTCCGTACTTCCCGTGTTGGTAATCATGGTGGTTCAAGAAGATACGTGTGCAGAAAATAAATTTGAAAATCATGAAGAATTTGTTGATTCCCAGTCAGAATCAGAACCAGCATTTACAATTGAAAGTATCCTTTTCATAATGTTGATGAGATTTTGGCTGTGGTTAAAGGTTGATCATAAATATATATGTGTTTTTTCCGTATGGTTGAATGTCTCATAACCTATACAGCATAGGATCATCTTCCTGCAGAGTAATTGTATTTAGCTCTAGATTTAAAAATTTCTCGTTAATGATGCTTTTCCTTATATTGTACTAGTTCTCAAAATAATTAAAGAAGCTCAACAACAACATGGATTACGCCATAGTGACTATCAAAGATACAGGTTTGTCTTTAACACAACTTGGAAACGCCTTTTTTTAAGTACTCTTCATTGTTTCCAATATTTATTTAACACAACAGTGTCAAAGGGAGAATTTATTTCGTAAATATACGGAACGAAGGTTTTTGGTTTATTTAACTACGATGTTACACTAGCTCAGACTGTGTAATGTTGAATGATTAATTAGTAATAAATTGGAAAGGATATCGGAGGAAGTGGTCGTCGCCTAATTTATGGCACTATCTTCACATTTGCTTGGATGATCTGAGCAAAAGCATGAAAATCCTGTAAGGATAGCTGTTCTGTAGGCCAAGACATTAACTTGGGATCTCCCAAATACGAAACAGGAGTGCTAACCACTCGACCGCATCGTTGGGTTTAGAGATATTTTGAAAGAATGAGAGATCACCTTCTACACTTGCTATTCTGTTACCATCTAAGGGACAATGAGACGTATTATGAACAAACTGATGAAGAAAAGACCAGGACATATTGGGGTTTATAGAAAGAAACAGGTTTAGATGTAACTGTGGAAAGTTCATATGAATTGTTTGTAATTATATGTTATGTAATAATCTTTGTCTAATTGTACCAAGAGTCATTGTTACAGGGGATATTGTTCTCGTCGGATCCGAAGACTCAGGAAAGTTTTACATGTCACACAAGGGGACAAAAGACATTTTAAGAGAAAGGATGTTACAGAGGCCATGCTGAAGGATGAAAGGTATGGTGCAATGCAGATTGTTATAACCAGACATAAGATTTTTATGCACTAAAAATTAACCTAATTTGCATTTATCTGTGGACTAAGAATTGCATAAATCTGCTCTCACACTGCTTTTAAATAACACTTATACTTATACACATACTGAGTTGCTGATGGTCTCTTCACTCTAATTTTTCACTCTTGATTGTTATGCAGTAGATCACAATTGTTTTTTGTTTTTTTTTCTTTCTTTCTGAATTTTCTGGAGTGAGTATGCAGTGTTTGTCTTTTAACGCTAAGTTTGAATGCAAAAAATAATTTGAATGAAGGTATTTATAAATAAGATAGCATGATAATCAGCTCTTGGAGTTGAAAATCAGTTTTTTCTTAGGTGGTTATGGTAGAAGTTATATAATAAAGCCATAATTAAAATGGTCCATACAAATAATTGGATTTATTCTAGCTCTTGTTAAACTTCCAGAACTGAAATTACTTTGTCAGGGACAAAAGTCACCTATAAGTGGTGAATGAAGTGTTTTGTTTTTCTGGTAACAATCAGGTACCTATACATACCTCTGATGATAGCAGAAAGAGCCTGGAGTTATGCCATGCAACTGCGCCAGGAAGCCAACACAGAGCCAAGGAAGAGATTCCATCTCATCTCACGCTTGCGTAAGGCAACCACAAATGCTCTGCATTTGCAGACACTTTGTGAGGTAACTTTCACTTCTTTATATAATCTGTATTATTAAGATGGCTACCTTATTGGTTGTTGTGCCATGTAGTTTGGTAAAAGTTTATCATTGCTTCACAGATACAATGGAAAGGGTGATTGCCCTGATGATGGATGCAGCAGGCACCTCTGAAACACTGGTTAACTTATAATGAATTCTACTCTGGCTACCACCCTTGTCAGGTGGTTGAATGGAGAAAACACCAACATTTTGAGAACCATCTTCAGGGTACCGAAGTTCAGTACCCTAAGGATGGGGGCGAAGATGGTTTTTGAAGCATTGGTGTTTTCTCTGTTTAACCACCTGACATGGCTGGTAGCCTGAGAAGAATTCATTGTTCATAGTCACCATGAAAGCTTCGAATAATACATTGGTTAGCTTCTATCAGACTACACAGTGCAAGAACCCAGAAAACAGCCATCTTCATATTCACTGCTATGAAACCTGATATCTCACAAACTCCATTTTGATCCATATGCTTTATAACAGGATAAACAAGGCATTGGTATAAATCCTTGTAATGCTGACTGTTGCTGCATGCTGTGCAAGAATTGCTAGGTTGTTTTGTAAAAATGTAACAATGCAATAGAGACTTCTGTGCTTGTGTTAAGAAGTAAGAAATAATGCAAACAAAGTGAAGTGAAATTTTATTACAACATACTTTATATTTAAAAATAAAATAGAGGACCAGTAGTGAAATCTTCACTGCTGTGGGAACCTCATGTATCATGTTAACATTGAAGATGACATGTTACAGAGTAGCAAGTGTGATGCTCGCACCAAGTTGGAGGCGCAGGCTTATGTGGCATGGATCCATGGCTCCCTTCATTTTGAACTCCAGATGTGGATGCCTGCAATGGAAAATCTGAAGAAGGCACAGTGAGTAACTTGCTCCATGGAGAAGAGTCCATTTTGAGAATCATTTTATGAAACCTGTATGTTCATTATTGTGTTCACAAGAGGCTGTCACTGAACCCTATCCCAAATTCTGTACCAATTTTCTCTTGCAAACATTGTACTCAGAATTGTCTAGTTCTGATACTCATTCCCATTCTGACATTTTGTAATGATCTAGTTTTTATTACTGGAGTTTTATTAGTCTTATACCTACATCAAACCCCAGAAACTGATGAACCACCTCTTGTCAGCTGTCTTCTATCTACAGACACCAAACAGTGTAGCTGAGCATTTAGCACTCCTGCATTGTATTTTAGAAGTCTCATGTTCAAATCTCAGCTCAGAGAATGGCTGTCCTGACTGAGACTTCTTGTGGCTTTCCTCAGTTTCTCCAGCCAAATGCCAGGATAGTACTTTAAGTTAGGTCATGACCAATTCATCCATATCCCTTATAATTCATTATTCATTAATAATACTATAATTTGATGCTGTATAGTCTGAACTACTGACATCATTGTTAAATAAACTACAAATAAATCTGCCCATATACTGAGGACATGCCATTCTGTTATGACAAGATACCCACTTAACATGGAAGTATCCAACATGGGAGATGACTCACATGCAGGCACTCTTTAAATGGATACTGAATTTTTCTCAAGAGAACTTGTATATATGATTGCAGATTGAATACTGGTATATATGTGCTTTGGACTTAACAAAATGTGATAGATAGTACTATGCACTCTTAAGAGCAAGATGTCAAATATGAGCCTGTTCAGTGTAGCTTTGCCTGTGTTATGAATATAATCTCTCTGTTGCAGTCATGTGGTTATTTACCTCTTGCTTAGTTTGTAAGCATCTTGACAGTAATTATTACAAATTGCATCTGTACTGTTCAGCTGTGGAATAAAATCAATAATTCTGGTCCTACCCTGATTTAGTCCTTAATTTCTGATATTTTATTCTTTCAACTAGAAGTACTAGTAATCTTTGTACAAATTGTGTTTGTCACCAGAATGGTTTATGAAAAACTAGCGCTTGCCCTTCCAGAAGATGAGCAGCCAGTGTACAAATCTCGTGTTGAGGAATTGGCCCCTAGCCTCCGCTTCTGTGCCTATAATATTGGAGATGAAAGTGCCATTGATGATTTGCTACAAATGAGAGGTCATGGCCAAGGAGATCTTCTTGCCAATTTGGATGTAAGACCACATAATTTCCATAATTTCTGAGGGTTCAAAGATAATGAGTAACAGTCACATTTTTTTCTCCATTATAGTAGTGGCTCTTTTCAATTGTGTTTCAGATTTGATTCCAGCTACTAGTGTAACATCAAAGATCTCACACAAGTGAAAATAACATTAATTTGTATCCATTTTCTCAGTTTGTGTTTTGTTTCCGTTCAATGTTCATGCCTGCTACACATTTAACCCTTTTAAGTCTCCTTGTGTCTCTCTAATAACAACAGGCCTGCTAGGTTAGGAGCACAAACCATGAAAGCTTTTCTTTATTATATTTTTGTGTATTAAATTCTTTTAGGCCCAGATATTCTAAAATAATGAATATGTATATAACTCATGTTTGAGTAGTATGATGGAGAAATGAAATCAAGAAACTGAGGAATCACTGTGGTGTAACAAGTGACCACTTTCCATGGTTTCTGCTCATTCTCTCATACAGACATGGATAATAATTTAAAATTGATCTCAACAACTTTTTATCTCTTACATCTCTGGAATGTTTGTCTTTCTAAATTGTGTGTAATAACTTACTATCTTCATGGAGCAGAGTCGTTCTTGAGAAGCTGATAATAAGCTTAGCTAGTCAAATTTCTGCATTTTATGGAACCTGAAGTTATATTATTAAGTTCACAAGAGCCAATCTCCAGTCCCTGTCCTGAGCCATATGAAACCATTTGGCACCTCCAAACTCTAGTTAGCTGAGAAAATTGTAATATAATGTTCAGTTGTAAGGACCTCACTTCATTTTGAAAGTACATGGCTTGGGTCTTGTAGCTCATTATTTTCAAGTTTTTTACATTCCTTTTAAATGGAACATATTAAAATGTTACAACATTTTAATAATTTGTATACACTGTGAATTAATTAAAATGTTAAAATTTGAGCTGACGATGATCTGTAAACTTCCTTTTGTGTTTAGTCACTGATGGTGCAGACACAGCGTCGATCAGAAATTCTTTGTGATGTAGAATGGCGTGGCCATGCTATTCCTGTGCGACCAGAGCGTGTAAGGGGTTTCCTGTTATCACAGCAGCAACTGGACACATCACTGGCACGATCTGCAGACACTGCATCAAAGATTACACTGCTGGAGACACTTCTTATGGACTGTAAGGATGCAATTGCTGCTGTCAGGGATGAATTGAAGGCAGATCCAGTAAGTGAATGTTCTGTACGAGTATAAATGTGTGATAAAGTGTGTATATGTATATATATATGATGGTCTGTAAGTGATGGTGGAAACAACCACTGTTCTTCAGACAAGTGACAAGACTCCCGCAGTTGGTGGTAATTTTGAAATGTCACTATTTCAGAACACTAAGGCTCGTACAGTTGGAACACCACTCACTCCACTTCAGCATTTATTATCCTATCTGACGCATATTCGCCTCACACGAACCATTCAGCGCAATCTGCTGATGGTGGAATCTGCACAGGCTGCTCTGTCTGACAAGAATGAGGTGAGCCATATCATGTGAGTAGATTGTGATGTGCAGGGTGAGATGTCCATTGTCAGTGATAAGGCTGCTCGTATGTAACATTCAGTCCTTCTGTCTAATTATAGATATTAAGTTAACAGAGATTGTACACCGCCTAGCTGAGAAAGTTAAAGGTTTTCATTGAAATAACATTCCACATTCTCCTTTCTTTGTAGGGTGGAGGGGAAGGACGCAGGACTCGTCCACAAGATCTGACTCGTTTGTATGAGATCATCCTGCAGAATTATGGCGAGATGCAGCTGTTAACTGGCCTGGAGGATGACCTGCAATATCAGCAGGAGATTGAGACAAAAATCAAGGCCTACCGTGCCTTTAGGTACAGCAGCAGAATCTGTTTTCTCCTCTGTGTTGGAATTACAAGTCTCCATTTCCATCTGTTACTTTTGGTGCATGGAACCCCTTATCTCTCAGCTGAAAATTTGTATGCCATCATTTTGTACTCACCTTTGATTTTTAGCCATTACCTATGAATCATGGAAGGATGATGTAATAGGAATGTCCCTTTTTTTCTTTATATTTTAGGACCTTCACTCTTTATAAACTGAGTTGTTTTCACATCCCTTTGTATATATTTTTTCTGTTTAGTGTAGGGGTTTCTGCCACATTCAGTTCCATAACACTGATCTTTGTTGTAATGTCATGTCTAGCACCTGCATACAATGAAACATCATGTATAAACTATATTTTACTGACAACTCTCAAGTGTTTTTACTATCCAAATTTTATACATTTATACCTTTTTCGTCTTCTTTACATGTTACATTTTCAAGGTGTGCATAATATTTACCTCATTCACACTGTCATCTTCACTTAACCCATGCTCAGGTAATGTGTGGTACACCTGAACACTACAGTGCATAATATTTACAGATCATACAACTACTGTTGAAATGGCCCAAGGGGTTAATGTCCCAAACACAGTGTTCCTCATTATGTAAAGCCTTCCATTTTCTGCTCTATCTATCTTAGGTCCATATATTTTCCTTAACAGTGTATGTTCTTTTGGCAGAGTAAGAAAACATGTTTCACAGCCACAGGATAAGTGGGAGAGTTACAGTTTTATTGCCACAATTTTGTTAAGTGGACAACTTTCTTAAATTTACTTTTCTCATAATATTATAGTCAATATGCATATAATCTTTTTTTGTTCCTTCCTGATATTTGAACTTTTAAAGTTTTGGGTTTAAGTTAATGTATGCCTTCGACACGGTAGGTCATGCCAACAAACCTGTCCATTTTCAAGATTTTTGGTTAAGTTTCATAACCTGACTTCAGGTAATGATTTTAGTGAGTATATTCAAAAGAATGCTGAAAAAGAATCTAAACAAGACATGTTCCATGTCTATTATACAGATGTTTCTACATCGCCCAGAGCCTTATAGGATTTCAGCGGTGGCGTGAGGGCATGGCACTATACCAGCGTGCTGAGCAGTATGTGAAAGAGGCCCTTGAAGCCAGCAATGCCTCAGTCGCCCTAGAGAGCAAGTTATGTACCCAGCTACAAACTCTTCAGCATGACATGGAGCGACAGTTGTTCTCAGCGCATGCCCATAGTGTGTTGGAGGGTGAGGGACTACAGGATGAGGAAACTGGATCTGCCCAAGTTGGCACAAAGACTAACTACAGAAGCAAGAAAGTATGTATAAATATCACATACAACAGAACCCCATTAACAGTATACTTCTGTAGTTCGTTATATATATAGAATAAAGTAAAAAGATAAAATTGTCCCTGTTCTTAAACACTACAACAATTTTAACCTTGGCACTAGACTGAGGTGAGTGGTCACCTTCCCAGTCTGGCCACTTCACAACCAGGGAGAGATCTAGTATCCTTTTGATAGGAGGTTCATTGGCTATAGAACCAATCTGGATGTGGTTTGACAGTGATACTATTTTATAAATTACACTTCATTCATGTTTGTTGCCTCTGTATTTTGTATCTGCCCTCCCCTCTCCAAATAATTTGTGCTTTTGTGTTTACCTGTGTATGATTGAGATCCTAACATTTGCATGTTATGTCTTATTTCATTTTGAAATTATGAACATGAAATGTTGTTTTCATACAGCCGCTGTACGAACGACTGGGGGAATACAGGGAAGATTCATCATTAGTATCTCGCACGCCCAGTGTGTATAAACTACCACCTGAGATGCAACCCATACCATGTAAACCTTTATTTTTTGACCTGGCATTCAACTTTGTAGAATTTCCTTCATTAGAGGACAAAATAGAAGCAGCAGCTGGAGGAAAGAAGGGAGGAGCTGGACTCACAGGCTTTGTGAAGGGTTTGTGGGGGTGGGGAGGCTCTGGCAAGAAGTAAAAGGGTGTGAGTTTTATTCCACCATCAGAGTTGGCTGAAATCTTTGCTGAGTGTCCTGAGCAAGTATTGCAAACTATGCAACACAGTGTAGTCACTCTTCTCAAATTTTGGCAAACCTAAGATGAAAATTATATTTATGTAGATGTATTTTATTGATTGGTGCAGAAATGAAAACTAGTCAGTAATAAAATTGTTTCTGTTCTAACTGAATGTATTGTGTATTAACTCTTAATACTCTATTAAGATGTTTGCATTTTCTTACAGAATGATTTAACTAAGGATGTGGGCTAAAAGTACTGTATACACCTTCATTTAATGGTCCATGCATATAATTTTCATCTTGGGTTATATGTTTCTCAGGAAGAAGGATAAAGCATACAATTCAGATAGGAAGAGAGATGGTTATTTATTGAGTTGACTATGTTTGCATGTTTTTTAAGAGCTTGGGAGGTCTTATTTGTACAATATTACATTAATAAATATCTTCATATTAGTTTTTCTCGTGAGAAATAATGGTAACTGGAATGTACTTCAGTTAACTTCTTACAGTATTTATTTACATGCAAATAACATTTTGTTTTATAAATTCCTTGTAATCTATGGACTTGTGATGGGGAGTGTAAATTCCACCATTCCTAAACAAAATTTGCATTGGTAATTGTAAAAATCCCTAATCAAAAGAGATACATACATTGTCAACAGCAGTAATGATATATTATTGGAATTTTAATAAAATTAATTAATATTGGCTGATAGTAGGATATTGCAATTGATTCAAGTATATGGCATAATTCTGTAGTATGTCATTGGTGTGGTGTGGGTAGGGTTGAATAAGGTGGTTTTGATTTTAAAAAGAGGTATCATAAGATGTTTTAGTTTGAGCAAACTAAAATGCACTATATGCTTATTTTTTATAATATTGGAATGTAAGAAGTTGTATAAATACTTATACACTTTTGCATAAAAATAGGTAACACTTTATCTTTTTGTACATGCAATAAAAGTTACATTAAATATTATGTGAATGCTAGCTCTGATTCTAAGTTCATCTTACCAGACATTTTCCTCTCTATGTTGTTATCAGTCTCATATAGGTTATTCTATATGTACGCAGCTGCAATTTATTTTTGACTAGTTCTATTTAGGGCATAAAGTTTGTAACTTGATCAGGCAGCATCATTATTTATAGTTTTGAATTTTGTAATTCTTCTATTGGTCATAGAGCCCAGTTTTATTATATTTCCAAAATAGGTTATGCATATTTGGTTCTGGTTTGTGTCATTAAGAAAGTTTTCACAAAGGAAACATAACGCCCTGTCTCAGCACGTTTTCAACACACAAAGTTGTGTTTCATGAGTACTGCTTATGGAATCAACTTGTCTTAATTTTATTGAAGCTGGGAATCCCAGAAGAAACTTAATGTAAGAGGGTTGTAATGTACCTTTGTTAAGAGATTTTTAAAAACAAATGTACTTTGACTTCTTTTAAGTTCTTTAATTACATAGAATGGAGCTCCCTTGGTCTTGGGTGTCAAAAGGTGGGGCATCTGTTGGATCTCGTAGACCAAGCTAACTCTCAATCTGTACACCTTTTTTGATACCTAAGGACAGAGGAAGATCCATCATTGGAAAATTGACCCAAGTTCCTTGCCGTTTACATAACTAGACTATTAAATGAATGCATGGGAGCAATGAAAACAGTGGTTTGATGGAGGATGAGTTGCATTACTTTGGTATATGAAAAAGTTAATTGGATAGATCCACACATTTACAGGGGATTTAGTGTAAATAATATATTACAGAATCTACACCAAGGTACTGCAGTCTACATTATAAAAACAAATGAGCTAAAAAAAGGTGGATGATGTGTGTGTGTGTATATATATATATTGGTCTTTTTAAAGTAGTAGTGGTAGGGAGATTGTGTAGATAACTTGTTTCTCCTTCAACAACTTTCTGAAAAGAGAAACTTTGTAAATCAGACACCAGTTTTGCTTTCATAGCTGGAGAAAGTTTGTAACTCCATACCAAGGTGTAAATAAGCTGTGGGAGACTGGAAAATGAAAGATAAATTTAGAGATGATTGAAATAATTATAAAATTGTATGAAAATAATTCAACTTAATGTGAGATGGGGAGTAAGATCTGGGGTCACTGTTATAAAAAAGGATTAAGATGGGTTTCATTTGTCACTACTGTTTAATGCTTATATGGAATATGCCATAATTAGGGTTTTATATACATTTCAACTTAGATATTTTTAATATTAGTAACTAAACTGCTGCCAGACTATACACTACTACACGTAGAAGTAGATGTCTATGATGTTAATACATTTCTTTCGCCAGGTGGCAGAGGAATCAACAAGCTGACTGTTTAGTAAAACGAATGTCGAAGATAACTATGACGTCATTATCGTAAGTGTAGAATGCGAAGTCTTGACATATATCGGATTTGTCCATTTGTTTATTCTTTTTATGGGAGTTCAAGAGTACTAACATTGTTTGTCATAGTCACAACGCTAGTAACATAGTTTTGTGCAGAACGGGACTTGCGTTCTATTTTTAAGCAGGCATTTTGTGAGGAAGTTTTCAATCTCTGCATGGGTGTGTGCTTGCGGGAGTTACCTAAATAGAATGGAATAGGCTGGTTAGTAGTCCTTGCTGTTACGCAAAAACATCACATTGTTATGCAAAGCGTGGGTAAACAGAGCTTTTAGTATCGAAGTTCGCGTTGCTTCAGTTTAATAGAACGGCTCTTCATCGAAACGAACTTGTAAAACAGTTCTCTCGTTCTTTAAATGTGACATACTAATCAGGTATCAAGGATGGAAGAAGAAAATATTAGGGAATTAAGGAGTAGTAGGTCACGATCAAATACTCCATTAATACGTGCTAGGGAGAGTACTCATGGCACAGCAGAGGTCAGACGTGCTACTTCAGCTACACAAATCAAGGGAAGGTGAGTATCAGTTTTTGTTTTTAACATTTATTTCACCAAAGTACGGTTATTGCAAGGTCAATTAATTTATTGATGTAAGTGAAGAGTTTGTTGGATGAGCTGATATATGTAATCTTTCTTTACATCTTCCTTAATCAGGATGGGGAGCATATGTCCATATCCCTAAATTATTACTAGTTACTGAATTATGGGGCAATACTTCGAGATGTGAGTTAAAAGTAACTATGTAATAAGGTGGGACTTTGATTCAGTTTGTGTTTAAATTTTAAAATTGCCTATTTCTGACAAATTGTAAATGCAAACAACTCTATAGTTTTAAAATTTAATGTTCTTGTTCATCCATAGATTGAGGGGTGGTAACGGTCAGAAGTCTGGCCTAACCTCAGTCACAGAATCTCACATGAATGTTACTACAGTGAGGCATGTGCATAGGAAGACTGGTAATGACAGTGATTCTTCTAATGAACATGCAGTAGAGAATGAACAAAAGGTAAAGGGTTATATTTTAAGGTAATTGCATTTTTGTTGAGCAAAGGTAAGCATGTCAACAATGCTGTCTAGTTATTTAAGACACTTAAAAGTAAATTATAGGAGATAAAATGGAATATTATTAATTTATCTCACTTAACTACACTATCTGCAAAATCACAAGAAATGGACTGCTCTTTTGTACAGACAAAATATGGAACCTTTTACTGAAATACAAACCTCTTGTTCATCCATGTAGTTATAAACTACAGAGAGTATAAATTTAAACATGCAGAGTATATGTTTAGAATTCAATTTTATTTTTATTTGTTAATTGTTAGACCAAAGAAATTTTGTTGGATGCTGCTGAGGAAGCTGGTCAAGAAGTAAGTGCAGACAAAATATTCATGGCTCAGAGAATTCAGTACAGTCATACTATAGGGCTAATTAATAAATAATTTGAAAATGTGGCAAAGTGAAATATTTGGGAACAACTAAAAGATCAAAATTAAGGGAAAATTTCATATGGGGAATGCTTGTTACTGTTTAAAGTTTTGTATCTTCCTGTCTAAAGGTATGATTATAATTTTACTTGTTTTATGTGGGTGTGAAATTTACATGCATGCCCTAAGGAAGAACATAGGTTGAGGGTGTTTGAGAACAAGGTACTGAGAATATATGGATCAAAGGAAAGGTGGATGGAGGAAAATACATAATTTCTGCTGTTCACTAAACATCATTAGGGTGATGAAATCATGGAAGAAGTAGCTGGGGAAGATATGAAAATTTTCAGAATTAGGCCAGAAAAAGCTGAAGGGAAGGAATTATTCAGTAGACCTGGATAGTATTATAATGCACCTTGAGGAAATATGGTGTAAAGGTTGAGACTGGATTCATCTGGTTCAGGACATGGTCTGTTGATGGGCTTTTTTTGGTATGATATTGAACCGTCAGGTTCCATAAAAGTTTAGAAATTTCTTGACCAACTAAGCTATTGTCACTTTCTCAAGAGGAAATCTCTTCTTTGGAGTTGGATAATTAATTGCTGTACTTGGGTTTTGGAACATTAAGTTGCACTGGTGCTACATTTTCTTTTGTAGCATGCGCTACTATGAATTATATCCTGTACTGTTTTGTGTTATGTAAAGGTTAATGAGGTTTACATAAATGCAAATAACACTTTTAAAAATGTGTATCTCAAATTGGTCTTTTCAGTCTTGTTACATGTGTGGACTGTAGTCATTATCTGAGGAGTTTTATAGTCTTGGCAGAATAATATAATCATAGGATTAGCCTCTGCATCACAGATAACCACTGATTAATACACAATTGCATGGGGACTAATTGTTCTGATGGTTATGAATAGCAAATTAGTTAAGACCAGGAATAGAATGGTTGTGGTGTCTTTTAATGCTCTTAATATAATTCCATTAACTACTATTTATTTGTAGTTTAATGATGCTATCAGTAGCATAGACTATTATAATGTTGACAATTGACATATCATATAACAAATCTGCGGAGAATTTGTTAATATGTAATCTTCACAGATTGACAGACGATCAGATCGCCAGAGAGCAAAACGTCGCCTGCTGGTTAATGGAGCTACACTCAGAAAGGAGGATGAAGTGCTTGCCATGGCAGCAGAAGCAGTTAAGGAGGAAGATCTACAGAAAACGGGCTATCACAAAATGAGTGACTTCTCCAGTGAGGGAGGAGAAGGCATTGCGTACCAGATCTACAAGAAAGCTGGAGACTGGTGGAAGTGCGTATTGCTGCATGCTGGAATTGAACATTTATTGCACTTTGAAGGGCAGTGTAGCATGCACTGATTATTGAAGGGGCCATGAAAGAATAGTTTTTTTGCATTAATTGTTACGAAACATGTTTAGTGTTGATTATGATGTAAACTACATTCTGATTGTTATAAGCATAGAGGTTATAAAAATGTACATGCAAATCTAGTTTTGTGTGATTCTAATTTGAGTGATTGCAATCTCTGGTGTGTTCAATAAAACACTTTAGTGATTGTAATTATTAAAATTAGACAGCTTTTATGGCCCCTACAGTACCATTCATTGTGCGAAGTCACATGGCTAATGGATATATCTGCATGTAAAATATTCTCACATTTACTTTTTTGCTTCTAAGGCTGCTTAATCTCTGAATTTGCCAGTATTTAAATATATTTTGCTTGCTTTGCTTACTTTAAAATTCAGTGCCAAAATTATAAAAGTGTATGAGAATTCAGTTTTGCACAACATCTTTAATATATTTGTAAAGTGTAAAACTCCTTTATGCACAAACTTAAAAAATGTGTGAGATTTGAGGTTCTTGTGGTGATTTAGGTTTTGATGTTGGTCTTGCATTACAACGCAGAAAACTAATATCACCGCTAAGAAGTACGTCTGTGTTAAAAAAAGTGAAGATCACAAACAGAGAACATTAGGTTGGCTATTTTGCATTATCAAAGATTTATGTTAGGGTCATAGTGACAGTTATTTATAGGGTTAACATATTGACATGATGGCGGGTTTTTTATAGTTTCCTGTTCAGAAGTAATAGTTATATTGTCATTTTTAAACATTTTTTAATATAGTTTCCACGTGACAAACTAAAGATTTTCATGTTGCTTGTAAGTCACTCTAAAATATCATCATGAATTACACACAAAAATATTTAATACAACATTAATTAGGCAACCAGGATGCTTACTATGTACTGTCAGATATCAGAAGTGTTGGCTATGTGCAGTATATATAGCAAGGAATTTAACAGGGATTGCTGTGCCATAGGTTATGTATCATTTTCTTGAGAGAAATTTGGAAAGTAATATAGGTTCAGTTGAACAAAAATAAAATCTAAATACATAGGTTATTCAAACTATGTAACTACTAGCCTGAAAACTAGGGAATTAGGAGTTATGAAAGATGAAGATTTTATTTAAATTGACTGGGTTTTTTAAAAATGGCATTCTGCTTTCTGTGTTACAGAATTTCTTCTTCAGTTTGGATAAATGTTAAATTGAAACTATAAATAATAATTCTGTAATTGGTAGAACATATGAGCAATAAAATTATTTATTTATTTATTAGTCCTCTGTATTTTGGATATATGTCTTGACCAGAAATGTGCTGTTTTATTTAGTGTGTGTATATTTTGTTCTAAATTTTTATCATTATTATATATAGTTAAGTATTGCATTGGTGTTCATTGTGTTTGTGTATTGTCAGAGGTGTACTTTACGCATTGTTACATGGTGCTTTCTCTTCTTTCTTGGCTTGCTTATTTTTAATTTTTTCACATATCTGAGAATACAGTCAGATCTATAGTTTGTGTTAACATGTGCGTTTCTGATGTCATGGGAATGCTTTCTTGTTGATATGTGTTCAGCATGCAAAAATGTCTAATTTCAGTTGGAATTGTATTGAGACCAATTTTTTCTGTATAGGACCAGACAACAAACATGAATTTTTGTTCCTGCAGCAATAAATTCAGTAGTTTGTTGTTAATATTTTACCTAAGTATCTGTATAGTATTTCAAAATATTTATAATTTAAGAGTCAGTATTTAATGCAAGTTAAAACATTTATGACTCATTATATATAAATTCCATACATTAATTTTCAGGTAATTCACATGAAGACCAAGATATCTTAAAAGAGTATTGAAGAATAAGAATCTTTCTGTGCTCTTTTGTGGTTGTACGCACCAGTATACAGTACCAGCACCTTTATTCAAAATGTAAAAAATATTGTTAAAATTATTAGACATTACCTCGTAGTACATGATGTAATAAGGCTCAATTTATTTTTTTAATTAACACAATTTCTATATAAACATTGATTAGGATATCATTGGGTTTTAACAAAGAACCCATAGTTCTTTATACTTCTAGTGTAGCAGTCTTGCCTTGTTTGCTTTCTAATGTTTTGTTATTGCTTTTCATGTAACCAACATATTTTCCTCATGTTTTTAATTATGCATTACAGACCTGTCCTGCCATCCTTTACCTGGAGGTATATAACAACCCTGCTGCTGCATCCTTCCCATTGGTTGTTCCCTTTCAAGAAATCTGAGTCTCAACATATTGAAGATGTGTTTGGGTAATACCTTAAAATAAGCTGTAGTTGTGACTCACTTTAACAAAAGTAACATAACAAGATTCAGCTAGTTCATTTGAGGGTTGTTTTTGTTTGCTTCTGCAATACATATCTGATTTTGGCCAGATTTGAAGAATAGAATGGGTTTAGCAGAATAGGGTTCCACAACAGTTTGATAATTAGCTTTGAAAATCTTAGTAAAAAGCAAAGAGTGTGAGGTGTCCAATATTGTTGCACCAAATTCCATAAGCTCGTAGAGAGTTGAAGAAGGTTTGTATGTCCAGAACTGGTTTTTTTGAAGACATTTTGTTGCAGAATAAATAGTTTTAATACATTATATTTTAAACTACAGACAGAAACCACAAGCAAGGTACTAGTATTTGATTCTTATTTATTTATGAAATAGTCGCATTAAATTTTGTCCATTTCTTTTAACATTTTATAATTTTTCTGGGATACTAGATTTAATTTGAAAATGTAATCAGCACTGATACACAGACCATAAATTATGTATGGGCATTTGAAGCCTCTTATATTCCTTATCACATCATTCTACTTCAAGAGCTCCATAGCTTGCATGTGTGATGAGTAGGTCATGAAATGTATGTATACTGGGAGAGTCTTTGATAACTTGAATTAGATTGTTCAGGTTGTTAGTTATATTGGATTCCATTTTCACAGTGTTTTTTAATAGTCCTATCTAGAATATTAAGATAATGGACTGAATGTACAGTATGATTGTTATATGACTACACAGTAATTGACTTAGCATGCCTATCTTTGCTTCCATTCAAGCAAATTCACTCTTAAAATTATAACTTATGAAACTGAAAGGTAAGTGATATGATGATGCCAATAACAATAACAGTATTAATGTTAACAAGATAACAAACAAATTCAGTAATATGGTAATTTTCTCAGTGTTTTGTGGTCAATAATATGTTGTTGCATGTCTGAATTTTCATATCTCTGTGCTGTGAAAGAGAAATTGCATGCACCATTACATTTGTGGAGGGATTAGATAATATGTGTAAATATGATTTTTAAATGCTCCATTATTCTCTTTACCTCTGCCAGTGACTATTTCAAGGCCATAATTAAAATTTAATATTCTTTGAAAGTGTTATAATAGAATGTAGTGCTGCCAACTTGAGAATGTCACTGCTAAGATAAATTCATCCTTCCCTTAGTTTTTTAAACATATCTTGGTGGAAGATTGTAAATATGCAGGTCTGTAATAGGGGAAAGTTTCACCAAATTTTAAATTTAAATTGTGTAAAATGTTAAACATTACATACAATATGATATTAATCAATTACTAGGTACTCATTTAAGTTTAGTATAATTAAAATTATTGTAAAAAGTTCAATAACATGTCACAGGATCTAAGTTTAGTTGAAGGTATGTTTTAGAGCAGTTCATAATAATCTGAACACTATAAAAATAATTTTGTTCCCCCATATTTGTTGAAGTCTTTAGTTTACACACACATGGCACAGAATTATGAATGTTAATTACAAATTGATTCAAAGATTAAGTGATACCATTATTGTACACCTGTCTTGAGAGTGGTCTTTGGAATTCTGTTCAGCATTGTATGTTGTATTAGGGAACAGGAAGTTGGACTTCCAGTAAGCATAGGAGTGTAATTATTAAGTTCCAGGTCAGCCTTGTGTAGACTGTATTTTGAATTTAAAGATAATGCATTATATATTTGGTTGAGCATTTTGCACTTTACTGTTTAATTATATTTCAGAAAAGATTCCATTTGGGGCACAGTCACTTACTGATTAAAGGGTGAAAGGTTCCTTGACATGCTGGTTAGCCACATTGTTTTCTTGTAGATGTTTTAATAGCAGTGGTGTTTGAATTTGTAGTTTTTGCATTGATGTACCTTTTGAAAGCAACGGTTATGTACTGCTGGCAAATAGAATTTATTTACATTTCATAGATCCTTCATAGGCCCAAGCCAAGAATGTAGAATATGTCATGGCACAGGTATAGTACTTTTTTATAATACACATATAAATTAATGGGAATTTTATCTGGGCATAAAGAAAGACTTCAGTCATAAGGCAGACTTTAGTAGAGTAGAATTTATTTACATTCCATAGATCCTTCTTAGGACTAAACCAAAGGATGTAGAACATGTCATTTCATGCAGTATACATAAACTTAAGAACTTCATTACTTTTGACACAAGTACAAGAACGTATTTTACATATCAATGTACATAAACTTCAGATTCTGCAATACAAGAATGAAAAATAATTTTACAAGTTAATATACATAAACCTCAGAATTTTAAATAGAAATACAAAACTTAGTTTACATATAGATTATAGATATACATAAAGCTTAAAAATTTTCAGCAGAGATGAAATCATCTATGGAATAGAAAGAGTGAGTGAAGAGGTAATCTTTCAATGCAGTCTTGAATACCTTTATATCATAATTTAGACTTTTAATTGTTGGTGGAAGATTATTAAATAACTTGATACCTGTATAGTTTGCTCCTATTTGATATTTAGTAAGGTTAGCATTTGGCACATAGAGATCATGTTTATGTCTTGTATTTTTATGTGCTTGCATGGAACACGTGTTTGTTTTAACTTTAATAACTATAACACTTTTTATTTATTCATTTGTTATTATGTGAGTAATGATCTGTGGTCTTTGAACTTTGTTACATGCATAATGTGAGACTGCAGCTGCTAAGCACTTTGTACTGATTTTAAATGGCTAGTTCATGTTGTGGTTGCTCATCCTAATTTGGTGAATCAAGCTTTACAGCAAATGAAAAGAAAAATATCTAAGTTAGATTTTATCATGTCACTATTTTTTAATGCATGAAAAATAATTGAGTACAAGTTTGTAAAGGAGTGATTCAAAGAATATGGGTGTTTTTAATTTTGTCAACACTGAGGCAGAGCCAAGGATACGTACAAGAAAGGTAGTCTGTAAGTTCATAATTATGATGAAATTTGGTAAGGATCATCTTCAGGAGAAAAGATAGGTTTACTTGGGTCTTATCAGGTGTTCTGTTTTTGTTAGATGTTTCATGAAGTTCTGTTTGTGAATATAATGTAGTTGCCCATATAATGCTTTCAGCTTTCTTTTAATTCTGAATTTTGAGGCCAGGAGAAAGGATTCTGGAGATACAGATACATTGTCCAGCACAAAGAAGGTGATGGTGCAATTCCAAATACTGTAGATGTGGTTTTGCTAAATATACTTTCATCCCAGCCTCCCTTTCTCTGAACTGAACTGGCCTACCTGACCTTGCATAATTGTGGTAAGGGGAAGGATACTATTTATAGGAGACTGGGGTACCCCTGGAGTGACTCACACTCATGCCAAGCCACATCTTTGCTAAGAAAGTTCTTGTGTCTGGAAACATTATTCAGTTTGTCTTTTATTTTCTTTAATACACATGGCCTTTTAAATATCAAGAGTAATCATGATGTGGGACCATTTTTATTTATATAAATGAAATAAAATTGATGTTTGAGGAAACCATCTAGATTGTATTCAGATCTTGTTTAATTTACTGCTTTTTGCCAAACTGCTCCATATTTGGGAGGTCATAGTTTTCTTTCTCAGCCCATAGCTATTATTATGATAGGTTCTTAATGGTTTTACTTAATCTCTCCTAGCAGATGCAAGATTAGTACCTTAAAACATGTTACTGCTGTTTCCTTCCTTATTCTTTCCAATTCCTGACTCAGTCATCATCCCATTTTGATTATATTGAACCTATGCAATCAAAAAACTATTAAATTAACTAAAAAGTAATTACCACCTTTCTGCTGCTTGTAATGCAGTCAAACTGTTTTATTGATTTTTATTTTCATTACTAAATGTAAATTTTGTTCCACATGAGTTTTTATTTCTAACCTCTCCTTTTTTCTTATGCCGGAAAAATAAACATGCAACTTTATGTTTTCTCCGTGTTTCTCTCCCATGCTTGACCCTTTGAACCAGTTGACTAATTTCATCATGAAGCTTGATATGAATGTCTTGCTTAGTTTTCATTTCACTGTGTCATTAACAGTATCAATGTGGCAGTAATATTCATTTAACTTTTTTTAAGCTTAAGTTTGTGTATAGTTTAAAACTAAAACAACAGAGTAGTTGTTGCAAGAAGTTGTTTTCTTTCCATCCTGATGACTAAAAGTCATGGCAACTAGACATAAAAATTTGGTATGGTGATGGATCATAAACATGTCACCTACAAATTTTGTAATTTTTCATCTTTTATTTATATATTTTACTGGAGCTTGACATGTTGGATATTAAGAAGAGATGTAAGCATGTTTATGTATTCATCTGTGGTTTATTTAATGATGCTGTTAGTAACTCAGACTAAAAGAGTGTCAAGTGGTTGGTTGATGGAAATGACTAATGAAACAAAAGAAATGTGAGACTGACTGATAATGTGAGGCAGTTACCTTGCATTGACTACAGTGCTGATTTATGAGATGTGTTAATAATGAGAATTACTTTGATTTATTTAGTGGTATTCGATCATGTTGAATGGTGGTTTAGTACCTTAACTTTCTGTATGCTTGCAGTAAGTTTCCAAAGACTGACTATACATACTCCCCGGTGTCACCACATCGCAAAGAGCTAGCACCAGGTGTGATTGCTATGCCCAACATGTCTCGTAGAAGCCTCAAGACCATGCACCATTACAGCAGCACAGAAAACAAAATTTCACCAAGCAGTACTGTCACTTCCGTGTCAAAGCATCGTGTAACAAAATCACGTTGGTTTGATCCTTCTCTCTCAGGTAGAATAATAGTTTAAGTGTATTCTGTTTTGTGTATTATTATCATCTGGCACTTCATAAAAGATTGCACAATTTATAAATTTACTAGAAGAATTAAGGTTTTTCCACTATCAGTGCAGTATTCAGTATTTCAGTTAATGTGATAATTATCAGTGTCGCAACCTTTATGGCACATGTCGCTGTTTACTGTAAAAAATATTTACAGTATGAAATATGACAAGATGATAATGTTTTGCATTACTTCTGTGTATCTTTATATCAGCATAGATGATACAATTCCAGGTTCACAGGCATCCAGGAAAGTTTTGGAAGATTGGGCTGCCATTGATTCAGATGTGGATGAAGTGGCTGAGTCACTTAGTAGCAAGACTTCTTCACATATTTCCAAGTCATGGACTGTCACTTCTGTTATCACATCTTTCTTCATGGTTATCTGGACTTTCATCACTGTCTCTTACACTGGCACAGTTGATGCTGTGTATAGACTAGTTGGTCATCCGCGTGACACTGATATCTACACCACACCCCGCCGTAAGCTTATTGTTTTATGCATAATTTTAGCAAATAGACATTCTGTAGTAACTAATTAAAAGAGGTGCTTTCCATATTTTGTATTAGCTTTGAAATGTGTGAACATGTATGTGTGCTTCCCACATTTTGTTAATGAAGGGGCCTGGGAATGAAAGAGGTAGGTAGTTAGGTTAGTCTGAAATGATTTCTTATCTGCTTGATCCTATTGTTCAAAATACATGACAGTGGAGCAAATACAACCACACAGTGTTATGTGTTTGGTGTGTATGCCTTCCTGCTTTACTATCCTATTGCATAAACCAGGCTGTAATGAGCTAAGCCAAATCATTTTTATGGAGTTCAGACACCTAGAAAACATTTGCGGACAGTACCTAAAGTATATCAAAGTTACACAGTGAAATGATATAGCAGCAGTTAAGTAAGTTATAATGAAATTTACTGTGATCAGTTTTGTGTTCCTTTTTCACCTCAAGGAAATGAAGTATTTCTCTTGGGAAGTGGTTCTATCTTTAAACTGATACTTGATGAACAAGTAATGAGGATGGTAGTGTTCCTTTTGTAATTTTCATTGAAGTTTATTTTAACGTTATTTTGCTGTATTTGGTTCTGATTGAAAACTACAAACCTCTTCAGTGAGAATAATGATCTGAAGGTTTAATTTGGCTCTCCAAAGCTGGCTTGTCATTACTTTCAATTTTTTCCTGTTGTGAATAGGAGTTGTGTTACCTGTAAGGGGTGAGGGAAGTTCCAGTTGGCTACCAAGGACCTTCAGTTGGGCTTATCAATTGTTCCTGTCAATAATGCACTTGGATACATTACTGCTGTCAAGTTGGCGCACAACACGAGTAGAACAGGAGCATGAGCTGTTTTATGAACAAGATGACTCTACAGAAACAGATGCCGTATCCAAATCGTTTTCCTCACATAAGCGCAATACATGGAGACTTTTTCTCCTGCTGCTGCCCCTCATCTTTCTGGCAGGTAAGTGTTCTCTACACATTTGTGATTAATGACCTGTGGACCATATTTCCAAAATTGCAGAAATGTATTAGTTTAAATTATCTGCCAGCACTGTAGCTCTCTGCAATCATTTATCATAGTACTAAAGATTAAATGATATTTACATACTGATACATTCACATACAGCATTTTAATGCTTGACTTTTAGATGTGATAGGATTGGCCAGCTAGAAGATCACAATTTTGATCCTCATGTGGGCGTTCACTTTTGACTTACACTAGCCTGTACTTCAAGTAAATTTTATTTTTATTTCAATGCTTCAGGATCTAGGGTCACATTAAACTTCAAGTTTATTCCATTCAGCAAGAATTGGCTATACAAGGGGCTGCATTTTTGACATGTCCATTGAGGATTTTACACAATTTTGATATATATATATATAAAAGAAACTAGTGCTGGGATATATTTATATAAGGGCATAGAGTTGTTTGTCCAACTTATTTCTTTATTCATGAAAATAAATTTATTACATTTGAAAGCATTACCTGATGTTATTTTATCTCTTTAGGAAATTGTATCAACTGTTGTGGTTCTTTACTGTTAAGTAATGTATGTATAATTTGTGGCAATGGTTATGAGTGATAAATTGCCTCAAATGAGATAACTGGCTTGTTGCCATCACAGTTGCAATTTAACAGAGTTTTTTATGTCACTGGCTATGCATTAAATATATAGGGTTTGTTGCTTGATTACTCTAACAGTTTGTCTTACTCTCTGAATCTGTACCAGTTTTTCTTCTTTCATACTTCCTGATTAAATATCCTGTGATCTTTTATGTTTAAGTAGAAGTAAGTCATTGTTTTATCAGACATATCACTAAAAAAAATTTGAAAACTGTTAAATAATGATTATTGTGTTTTTATTTCAAAATATATGTGGCCCAATTTCTTGTTTGTTACTGGTAAAAACTTGAATGACAAAATGGTTCATATTACTGATCTTACCATGTTCTGTTGGTTGTAAAATTATTAAAGAGGGGTCTAGAAAGTCATGTTTGCTCTGTAAACCTGTTTTGCTTTTAGAAGTGGTTAAGAAGACAGAAAATAGCTTGTATCAACATTGTGAATTTTTTTGAACAAGAACATTCTTGAAATTTGATTGAAGACCATTAATGTTTGGAAACACTTGATTGTGAAAATTTGATCAACTCCTTTCTTTAAATGTGAAAGACAAATTATAATTTTACATATTCATCACCATTGACCTGTCCTCTTGAAAAGTTAAAATTAGGTTATTACTACAAGTGCCAAAAAAATTAACTTTCCCTCATGCCATAAAATTGAAGCAGTTCCTTTTCTCTGTGTGTGCATGTGCATACTTTCTGGAGGGTGCAAGCCAGCGAAATAAATCGAGCTTGTGTTCAGTAATGGATATACCTCTTCATTAATGAAACTGCCACAAAAACTGTCTTCAAATCCACTCTAACCCCTTATGAGAGAGTAAAACATACATTAATTATATTATTACCTTATTTTCTTTCAATTATAATAAAAGAGGAGTTGTTGCAGAGATTTCAGTACTGATTCTTTGCTCATTGAAAGCACTGAAATTACACAAATGGGAAGAGAATTTGAATTGTTTGGGTACTGAAGTCTGTTTTATGCATGTAAACTATTATTTACAAGATGATTGTACCGGTTGTGATACTGCGATGGAGAAGGCAACGGGAAACCACTCCATTATAATTCCATAGTACAATCAAGCATGAGCTATGCTGATCGCCAACACCAGGAATGGATAGGCACTTTTAGAAGAAGAAGGTGCAATTTATGTTATAAGGAAAACCTGTATTATAGATTTGATACAGTATTTCTGTTTCTAACCATAAAATGTTTAGGGCTAAAATTACTTGTTTCACTAGTCTGAATTTTTTTTTTGTTCTACTGTATCATGATCATTGTCACAGTGCTATGGAACTTAAAAACTGCATGAAGATTTCTGTCTTCTGGGTTATTGCGCTGTGTAGTCTGGTCGATGTTAACCAACGTTTCAGAGGTCATACTGCCTCCGTCATCAGGGCGATGAATATGTCAATAGGGTGTGAGGAGTTGGATTTTATAGGCAGGGAAGTGAAAGGGGTAGCCTGCCCCGAGCCAATGGGAGCAGGTATGGGAGTGGACCAATGGTAGCACGTGGGCGAGGGTGGGAGAGGGAGAGATTGTAGAGAGAGAAAGGTGAGTGTAGTTGTATGGATAAAGGCCCTGAAAGGGGCCGAGTTAGTGGTCTGGTTGGTTCTGGCGGCATCTGCATCTTTTAGACTTAGTCTTCTTTGGTTGTTGCAGTATGAAGAGACATTGAGGTGATGTCTGCAGTAGATAGAGCTAATCTCTTTTGTGGTTAGCAGTGAGGCATGCTCACACATAACTTTATTTTATGTGCATTCTTGGATGTGTTGTGTCATAGCTAACTATGTAACTTTTTCTTATTTGTCAGCTTACTATTTAAAAATGCATACTTTTTTTACAGGATTTCACATGGTGCAAACATATTCCTTTCCCTATCCAAACTTTATTTCAGAAATTAAAACTTCTTTTTCTAACTTATATTTGCTCCCAGTTTTTAAGTCAGATGCTTAGTTTGAGATTGTATATTTTATCCCCTGCTTTTTCCTGTGCAGCATGCAGCAGGCCTCAGTTTGTTTTATTTTTTTATCCAGTGTATGTCAGGCCCTTGATATCACTTCTTTGCTATTAAATACAGACATTATTCTTGATCTAATTTGTTTTATAATTTTAGGGCTTATATTGAACTTAAACTTCCATAAATGATAAAATCTAACTACCCTGACTCTGAGACCATCTAACTGGTGGGTCAGAGATTAACATTTAATTTACACTACATATTATTTATGAAACTAGTTCAACTTTATACATGATCTTTAGTGTAAATTATACTCCACACAAGAGGGATGAAATCATATTCAATACCATAGAAAGTAGCAATTTACTCTGTCACTGATCCAAGCTCTGAAACTAAATGTTTACTTCTTTGGTAAGGAGGTTGCACATGCAATATGCTACATATAGAAGTGTGTTTATTTTTAAATGACAAATTACGAAGAAAGGGGACACAATATATGATAAAAGTAGATTTTAGTCTGCAGATACGTATGTTTAGAAAAGTTAGTATATGTAAGGGGATTGTAGTATTGTAAGTATTAATACATTTTAAAATAGTTCTGAAAGTCATTGAAATTATAAAATCAGGAACAAATGCAAACATTTCCCACTTAAAATTGATTAATTCCATGACTCATATCATTAAATGAAAAAATAAAGCCCATATTGTGAGGATTATACAGCTAACAATTTATATAGTATTTATACTAATGACTGGCTGATAGCCTTGAAATTAGTTAGTTTTAAAAATTTAATTTAATATCTTAATGAATGAGTATGTATTCAAGAGATACAAATTCAGACATTAGTTTGTAGTTATGGCCATGCAATAGCTTATGCAGAAAGGTATTATCTTCTTACCTTAGAGGCCTGATATTCAGAGCAGTCCATATGGATTAGTGATGGTCAAAATGACTTTGGAGTAGATTTTTCTCTGCCAGCCATTATTCCATCAGCATGGCATGCTTAGCTATCACTAATACACAATCTCCATCATCAGGGCTTGAACTCTGGGTAGTCTCTGAGCAAGGAAGCTTATTAAAATTAACAGTGGATTTGTTTCAGAGCCTGACAGAACACTAGGGCAGGGCTGTCCAAAGTACAGACTGTGGGCCATGTAACATTTTTAATAATAATTGATAGATGTTGGTTTTCTGGGCAATAATGCTGTATGGACTTGTAGGAAGATACCAATGTTTCAGAGGAACATTCTGCCACCATACAGCATTACTACCTAGAACAACAGAAACACCTTCACAGCCATGGGAACCTCATATTTATCAGAATTCTTTTACTAAATATAACAAAGCTTTCAGGAATTGACAAATGAAGTTCCTACAGATGTGCCTGATGCACTTTTGCAGCATGTAATTTTACTTTCTCATACCATATTTTTATTTTATTTATGTGTGATTATGATTCATGTTCAGTGAAGAAAGTAAAAAATTAGACCAGTAATATTTTTCCAGAAAAAATTGTAATTTACTTAATCTTTCATGATTTAATATGAAAATAGCCTGTATTTGTATATAATACACTTGTGTTTTAAAAATCTGCATCTTGTTTGGCCCATGTGCATAGAATTTATTAACCAGGTGGCTTACTAGTGAAAATGTTTGGGGACCCATGCAATAAGAACATTTTGTAGGTAGCTAGACAGACAAAATTACATATAAAAATGCTGTAAACATTAAGCCAGTTCATAGTATAAAATGTCAGATAATGGGATGTGTAAGAAATTGGTACATATTTTATTTCTTATAGTGGTGTCTCTTTGCTTAATATATATCCAGATATATATAATATATATGCAGCATACTTTACCATACTGTACACCTTACAGCAGAGGCTTTTGTCAATGTTGCTCTAAAGCTAATGTCAAATATTATTATTATTACTATAATATCATCCTCTATATATACATCACACTGTTAGCTTGTAAGTTGTGTTTTGGGATGGCCTTTATTTGACAATGCTTCTGATGTGCATTACTTTCTTACTAGAATGTGCAAAAGTGGTGGAATTAATTTTCTTGTGTCACAGTTCTGGTCCTGGATAATCAGTATAACTATGTCATGTTCACTTCCGGTAATTATTACATTTATGTTGTTTGCACAAAGTGCATAAAGTGACCACATAATGAGGTTGAATCTGTCCATCCATTTATTTCATCTTAGAAGCCAAATATATTTTCTCCTGACAATGGGAACATCACATTCCTCTAAAACATTAATGACTACACAATTTCACAACCCATATTACTATTTTCACTCCTGTTCTTATGAGCCATACCTATTTCAGGTTTATCTATGTAATGGAATTTTTATCTTTATAAGAATTTGGTGTTCAGAAATGCACCAGAATATGGAAGCATGTTGTTTCTTCCCCCCCCCCTTCACCCCCAGAAAATGTGCTTGACAGCATCCCAATAGCCTGGGGCTCTCATATTGAGAACATTTGTCATGGATACACAGACTTTCATAAAACCTGAGGTTTATGTAAACTTTTATAAGTAGGCAGACTGGACAAGTCGGAAACCAGTAATTTTCTAATTCACCTCATGAAATATAAACAGTGTATATCTCTTCTGTTATATTGGTGATAGGCTGATTCTGTTCTAGATTCAAATAAAAATATTTTATTGCCAGAATCCCAAAATTAACATGACATATTACTTAATGAAAATTATGATGTTAACTTAAAAGAAGACACTGTAAGATATGATCTTTTCATGATGCTGTGAGATTAGATTGTGGTCTTCTTTGTTCCATTGTATACCAGTGTTTTGGAGAAACATGTTACCTTTATCTTCATGGTTGATATTAAGATGGAGTTCGCATGTTTCTCAAAATGTTGGTGTGCAGTCACAATCACACATGGTACAAACAACAACCCAAAACACCTCAAGAGGAGAAGATGCTGTAAAACTAGTGATAAAATATTGAGAGTGTTGGCATTATAAAAGGAGTTAACAACTTGTGTGTTCCCCATTTGAACATTGTTTATCACTACATTTAACTAGCTATCAGTCAGACTAGTGTATAACTTATTTTCAACGGCTTTGACAGTCGCAGCTCTGTATGTTGCATGTTGAACAGTGTGCTCTAACTAACCATGTGGCATGTGTATGTAGCATACCTTTCTGGTTCTAAATGGGTTTACATGTAAATAATTATAATCTCAAATAATCATTATAAGAATTTTTGTGTTCTCTTTTTCTCATATTTCTTTTCATGGTGCAGCTTTGATATTAACAGACTGTAGTTTGAAATCATTACTTTTATACTTTTTAGTATAAGATATTCGTCAGAAATGATGTAAATATTAAATAATAATAATAATAATAATAATGGGAGGAAAAAATCTATCCAATGTCTTTTTCGTCCTGTCATTATCTCTATGCAGCACATAACTGCAACATATTACTGTGGAATATTTTGATCAGACTGACGAGTGTAATTTAATTTTTTTTTCTTTGCTTAAAGAAGAAAACATTGAATGGAGTCTCCCAGCTGTTTTAATGGCTTCTTGTTTTTATTTTAATGAGCTGAGTATTAATCTCTGGACATACAGATTTATCTTAGGTATTGATAGTGGAAGGAAGTGGTTCTTAAATTAGACACATTGTGTTAATTTTATAACTTTATTATGTGAAGATTGTATAATCTGAGTTATGGATGTTAATGTGTATAGTCTTTTTTTAAATTGTTCTCTAAAAAAATATTGCATCACCACTAACAGAGGTCTGTATTAACCCTTCCACGCACCCTTGCACTTAGCTTCATTAATGCTGTATCATTTGGTTTGTACTTACTGGAGTTTGTTTTGCACTTGTTTCTTGTGTGTCTGTATGAGATATAACATTCTCAAGAAAGTTTTATAAAAACTCCCCTCCCCCAAGATTGAACAAGGGAGAAGGATAGAGGAAGGAAGGCACCTTGTCCACTCTCACCACCCCAAACATTCCTGTAATCCTCTACCTTCTTACCTTGGCTTCAAACATTGGAAGAATGGACTGTCTACTGCTGCTGTCGGCTGGGCTTATGTGCGTGATAATGGTGAGTGTGCTTCCTCTGTCCTTCTCCTGTTTTGCCATCTGCCATGGTTTGCTGTTCTGGCAGTAGGCATAGATTAAAGAAGTTTAGGGTTTAGAAACAAACTCAGTTCAGTGTATGAGAATCTTTTGTTAGAGGTAAGGTATGGGGATTTCATCTGATAGGTGACTTATGCTTTCACAGATTATTTTCTTACTAGCATAATAATATTTTTAATTACTATTGGGTATGATTATCTTTTTATTCTCTCTATAGACATTTAGCTTTCAGTGGTTACTGACAGTGTTTACATTTTTATATAGGAGTATGCATCTTTGTATATGTATTTGTGTGTGTATATACTACACACACACACACCAATCAAATTGTATAATTTCCATGTTCACAGAAGAATATTTTCAAGAAGCACACTCATTGAATAATAGAAACATGGCATAAAGTATAATGTGCAAGCCCCTGCAAAGTTAACAATACTTCATTACCTTGAATACATAACTGTGGTTTTCAGTCTTGGATGTAGAGAAATGAAGAATGCATTATGTTACTGTAGTTTAAAGATAATGGTTTTAGTCTGATGAATGATTTGAATAGGGGTGATTTTAGTGTTTTGTCATTAACTAATCTTTGTGTATGTGACTGATGGGCAGCAGTCTTCGTGGCTAATGTGTTTAGAAAAATAATTATGACTCTGTTCTTGGCTGAATAGGAAGTAATATCTTTATGTGACTAACTTAAGTTGGCTGTTTGAAATGTGAAACATTGGGATATAAGTCAGAATTTCATTTTACTTTATTGTGAAATTAAAATTAATTCGTCTATGTGGAGAAATAAGGATTTCATATCTCTTATAATGTTTGAGAAATTACTTATTTTGTATCAAAATGTAGATGATATTGTATAAAAGGAATTACTTTTATTCTAAGCTGCATATAATTAAGACATAAGAACCTTACATTTTATATTGGTAATCAATCATGGCTCACAAAATTTATACAAAAATCATGCACAATAATTGATACTTAACTGTGAAGCATCAGTATTATGATTGAAATATATATTCAGTTTGTACTACAAACATTAAATTGGTTTTTTCACGTTCCTCTAGTTCTCAAAGTTGTCTTGATTTGCTGGTGTTGTTACATTGATCAGCAACCAGAAGTGTTTGTAGCATGAGTGCATTTCTCTCTACACAGAAGAAAAGTGTGTGAGTTAGAGGAATGTACAAATAAGCCTTTAATTTTATATCTGGGTAAAAAGGTTCATAATATAGTGTCTAGTCATTTTTCTTGGTAATTTTAAAGCTAGAATTTAAAATAATATATTGATGGCAAAGAATATTTACCATAAGTTACATGGTAATTTATCTAGACTGTTTATCTATAAGGCATTGATTAAGTTGAAATTTAATGTTGTTGTGCAGCCTTTGAATCCAATGCAGTGTGATTCTGGTGTATGATATGAAAGTGTAGAAACGGATTCATGCCTTGCTTCTTTCTGTTCCAGTATGAAAAATTAATTTAGATTAAACTCTGTACACTCACAAATAATGCAGCTGCTGCTCGTGTGTTCTTATGTCTCACTTCATTACATGTTAGAACTTCCTCAAGTTTAAGTTCAGCCTATACCATACACATTTTGATTATGTTGACAGGTTGGTGGGGTATGTCTGAACCTACAATAGTTGCCTTCAATCCTCTTGTGGGAGCAGCAGACACGGCATGGAATGCCCTTGTTGGCTTGATCTTGATTCCATTTGAAGCTTATCGTGCCTTAAAGGTAAGTACCTGTTAATTTTAGATTACAGTTGTTGAAACATTTCTTGTATCATTTTAATGCATAAACTATATTGTACCTGAACTTATTTAGTATTATTTAATTTTCATTTATCTTTCTCAGTTCCTTGTTCTTTTGCTTACTCACTGTCAACTCTCCTGTATGAATTTTGTGATGTGAAAATGTGTGGTAAGTTTACTAGTCACATGAAATGTATGCAGAGTTAAGATAAGCTCTTTTCACTATCTGTTTAGTAACATCTTCCCTTGGAAGTGTTTGAAATATTAATGAATTTATATATCATATACCAGTATCCTATCCAGTATATTCTAGGGTCTTTCCCACAGGAATAATGCATCTGGAGCATGAAGGTGACCACTTACCTTCGTGAAGCCCTGAGGTTAATGCACAAACTGTACATCCACACACATCTCATATGTTGTCATGCCATTAAGCACAGGGACAGTTTTCCTTTATGTAGAAACTTAATAAATGCTATACTTTATTTGTGTATAATGAATGTGATTGCAACAATAACAGACCAATTCCTGCAAAGTATTGACACCTGAAAACGTGTATGTGTATTAAATTTGTACAGTTTTTTATAAAAAGAAGTTTCATTCAGATATTTTACTCTTCTGTCCTTGAATCATTTTATTCTCAGGAGAAACTGTTTGTGAGCCTGACATTGCCTGAGCTACCACATGGCAGTCAGAATCCTCAGCTGCAGCAGCAGCAATCAGTTGATATGGAAACTTTGGCTCACTACATAATGGCCAGCCCTCAGTTCCAGCAACTGCTGATCACAGAGACGCAGGACAAGGGACAAATTGAATCAGATGTGCACCAGCGGAAGGACTTTTATCATATGAGCTCAGAGGTACATTTGCAGTTGTCTCTGATACCTGTGCTGCTAATTAACTCCAGTTCTCAGACATCTTCAGTCTCTTGTTTTCATAGATTAACACACACAACCCAAACTTACTCAACTTGCACAATTCCTGTAGTCTGACCATTCTTAATTAAATTGATTCTCCAAATGCATAGTAGCTTTTTGTTTTACAGCTTTTGGAGGAACAGAAGGCTTCTCTATCACAGCTCTCACTCCATCTGCAGCAAATTCAACAGAAAGTGGATCATCTTAGTTCTGAGGTGGATGGGGGTCAAGCTCATGTACAGGAATGGGAGCACAAATTGGTAAAAGAAACACAAGCTTTAAGACAAGAAGTTGCTGCACAGTCCCTCATAAGAGATAGTAACCAAGTTCTGCTGCGCAAAGAGCTACGTGATGTACAGAACAGATTAAGACTTTTGCAGGTATTGTGTTTATATATGTATATAAAAACACACACACATATAATTTTAAATATCTTTTTGTAGGTAGCTGTTATTTTAAAAATTCCCTTGTAACGTTTGTCTCATTATTAATGTTAAATGTTGGCCTATTTATGCATATTCATATTCGTTGTATTCTTTAGTTCTGTTTTTCTTAACCTTTGTGTTAGTTGCTTTATCATCTGATGACAATCCAATATAACTAAGAATCATAAACTTATGCTACCTCAGTGTAGCACTGAATGTATTCTTATGTAGACTTGTCTTCCTGTAGGAACAGCAGGCTCAGGTGTCACACAGGTGCTGTCAGCGTAATACCGGTCCTGTGAAAGTAGATGGTGATGTTATTGAGCAGCATGTGTTCAGGGTTTTGGCTGGTCTGCTGGGTGCTACAGGAGGACAGTTTTCAGGAAACCCCGAAGACTTGCGTGCGTGGGTGAGCAGCATGTTCTTGGCTTGGGATGGTCTGGAAGCCAGACTTGCCAACCTGACGTTCACACTTCATCTACAAACTAGGTAATGTATTTATGTAAGCTTTGAGAACTTTACACCAGTTTAAAATTTCAGTGATTAATACTTCTTGATAGTAGACTTGTTAGCCAGTATTTCATGTGATGAATGACATTGCAAGAAATAAATTTGTATTGTTTTATATGGAATGTGGATGGCATGAAACAGAAAGTAATATTCATCCATTAGATACTGCAAGAGGGTGGTTTTTACATAACTTTACATGTCAGTACTTTCATAGTTTGTTTATTTTTGAACTTTCATGATAGCTGTTTTCTATGTCACCTGTTTATTCTCATTAGTAAGAAAATATTAAGGGAAATAGAGTGCATTCTTTTAAGCTATTTCTTAGGGTTTGTGTGTGCATATCTTGCCCCAACAACTTTAAAATAATTTGATGATTTACATGAAGCTAAACAGGAAGGTCATATGTCAGTGCAGATTACTTCTGACAACTATTTCATCATGGTAGCTGTAGAAACCTCTGAGATGAAAGTGTAATTAATGTCACTCAATACATATACAACAAATTTCTTAAACACAGTACAGTACATTGTAATAAATCACTTGAAGATATCAAACTAGTTGCAAAATAGTTCTCATAGTGTGTTTCTGGATTGCTCTTTTAAATATTTTTGGTAAGCTTCATCAAAAGAGTTTTTTCGGAAATGTTAGAAGCAGATTAAGACATAGTATACTTACAAAGGATGATTCCAAGCACAGTGTGTGAGGTCCAAAATATGCTGTGCGTTTCCCACACCCTTTAACATAATCAGACTTGTACATGTTTACAGTTGTGTCAGTTATAATTCTTAATTCTTAAAATTCTGTACGAATAAAACTTTTGTTTCGCCTCATTTGCATTACTCTCCTATGGCAGAGTCTGTAAAACATTCAACTGTATTCACAGGGAAGCTGTACAGCGGTCCAAGGAAATAATCATGGCTTCAGTGTCGGAACACGTCCAGAATGAGTTTGCCAAGTGGCAGGAGCAGCAGCAGCATCATGATGTCACAAGCACGATTAGCAGCATGGTTGGGTTTGAATTTTTGCCTACTTCAAACCTTTAAAAATATGTTATTCAAAATAACGTGGTTTTATTTTTTATTAATTATGTATCAGCATGAGCTGGGGGTAGCTTAGAAAAGTGGCTGGTTGGAGGTTGAAAGTCTGGGACTTGATCCATGAGAGAGAGAGGTTTTCCTCTTTGCACGCGTCCTGATCATTTCTGAGGGCTAGCCAGTCTTGTGTCATAAGTTTGTAGTTTAGTGGAACTTCATACACTGAATCACAGCAGAACCAATCAGATGAAATGCATTGTGAGCCAGCCAGGCAATGTTGGGCAAGATTGCCTAAATCTAGAGTCTTTGAAGAGTTGTCTCTGTATGCCTTCAATGGATAATACTTAGGCACAGGGAGAATTTCATCTTTCTGTAGGAGCATATTCATCTCCCATTATATTTGTTGATTGAAAATATGTAAACAGTGGCCTCAGAATCTGTAGGCTATTTATAGATCTGAATTCTTTATACGTTTTCTAGTTACATGTTGTTTGTTTACTACTTTTTAATATTGCCCTTCTTAAATTTATTTATTATATTTTTGTGTGAGTTTATGTATGGTTTTTCTTATCTCCTTGTAAATTAATGTCCATGCATAAATTGGGAGCTTTATGATAGTATATTAGTTGGTACATTTTTTAAATAGTGAAGATAAAATTTAAAAGTATTCCTTACTTTTAGACTTACTTTACATTCATAAGATAAAGGTAACAAGGTAATATTACTAGTTACAGCTGTAATTACCATCTGAAAATTTTGCAGACACACAGGTAATCCAAAGTTGACATTTACTTCTCTCTTTGTATAGATGAAGTAAAATGTACAATTAAAAGTACATATTTAGGTACTTGCACTTTCATGAGTGATTTTGTCATAGATAATTTCCCCATTCAGTGGACCATTACTGATTTGTGTAACTTGCTTGAAATGGATGGACACTTCACAGGGAACGTGGGTGACTAACAGCAGTGGTGTGGCGGGATTGACCGACCTACAGGTGCGGGCCATTGTGGATGAGGCATTGGCAAAGTATGATGCAGACAAGACTGGTCTTGTGGACTATGCCCTTGAGTCTTCTGGTGAGCTCGGGATAGAAGCTGAATATGTAGAATTTTGTAGTAGTTTTCTTATGGGGGGTGGGGGGGAACAGGAATTTCGAGATCTTTATTTGAGTGAATTTAATCATGAATGTCAGCCGTTGTACTGTGCTTACCAAAGCAACTCATTCTACTCTTTACCAAAATAATAATTGATACTGTTCTTTATGATATTATGATGTATATATTTCAGCTCCTTGTGATTAAATGAGGAAGTTTTCTTACCTCTTCTCCCCCCCACCTTTCTGCACCATTCCTCTCTCTCGTTTATAAGCAGGACAGGATGAACAGCTGAAGTGTGATTACAGGCAGGAATTTTTCATTCTGTTGCTACATTCAGACTGACTGGTACTAATCCAGCTTGCTATGTCGTGGTTACCATAGTTCATTTTCCAAATCATGAAGTTAACCACTTACTTGCATCTAGTGCTGAGGTCTAGAATGAGTGTAGCTTTCTAACATGACCTGCCATCGTGGTATGTTGCTGGCACAGGGACTGTTTTACCTTTACAAAAAGGAGCATTCTCTTCCATTTTTGATCATGAGCAGTGTCTTTGAACAAGAAAAAATTGCGTTGTTGTGTCTAATTGTGGGGGAAGTACGGTTTTGAGTTTCTTTGCCAGTCCATCTTCCTTTGTATAGAAAACTTAATATAGAATACTGTGGTGAGTTTCTGGCCCAGCATTTTGAAATTCTTCTGTCTGATAACACATAGTTTGTCAATTAGGGGCAAATTAGAAACATTTTTGTTGTTGTAAATATGCTAGTATTATATTTTGTTGTTGTGTGAATAGAGGTACATTTGTTTAAAAGTACAAAAATTATCTGAAAAATTAATCAAATAATTACTTGACTAAATTTATAATAATATAAAAATTGTGTTTTGACTTTTGCAACATCCATCACCCATCAAACAGTCCTTGTGACCCAAAGTTTGGAAAACCATGCTATAAGATGAAGTAATGTTAAATGCCCTCTACCACACTTAATATATTGAAACATAGTATATAAACAGGAATTAAATGAATTGGTCAGATAGCATCAGGTTACATGAATTTAAAGATGACATAGCAGTGATTTGAATTATTTTAATTTTAACTCTGTTATGATTTGTGTGTTGTAATATTGATCTCATCATTGTCTTTGCTGGTTGCAGGTGGAAGTGTCATAAGCACAAGGTGTACTGAGACTTACCAAGCCAAGACTGCTAAGTTATCACTGCTGGGTATCCCATTGTGGTATCCTTCAAACAATCCTCGCACTGTTATACAGGTATGGTTTTCTGTTCTTGCGAGTTTTTCTGAAATTCATGGCTTATAGTCTGATTTTCATATTAGAAATGTTAACTTATTTTTGTACTAGATGTTAAAACACAAGTTTGGATACTACATTCATTATAGTTCCTGGTACCAGGCTTGGTGATAGGGTGCATATGCCGACTATGGCATATTGTTTGCATTCTGTCATATTTCCTCCAGGTGGACTATTGGTACTTGATATATTTGAATATGAAATGTTTCAATTTTCTTTGGTTATAATGTATTTCAGATTGTTACACTTAGTATTATATTTAATGACTGATATAGTTTAAGCAGCTACATGTTCCTACAGATATTTTTTAAAGGGTTTTAGAAACATGTGACACCTATCTCTCTCTGACTGGTAACTTTAAATATGTAAAAATGTAAGTAGGATTTGAGGTTTTCATGGTGGTGAGTCTGCAGATGGCTGTCTTCTGGGTTGTTGCACTGTGTGTCTGGTACTCATTGCCCTGATGATGGAGACTGCAAGGACCTCTGAAATATCAGTAAACTTCTACCAGATACATGGCGCAACAAGCCAGAAGACAGCCTTCTTCTATGTAAGATTGTGCTTGAATCATTGCACTAACTTTACTGTTTGAAATGTTATAGTGATTGAAAATAGTTCAGTAATTTTGAAGCAGTTCTTGTTTTCAGACAATTTTGTCTGCAGCTTGTCAAAAATAAAAAGGCTTAAAAACTAGGTGTTTTGTAGTTGTACAGCTTTCTGGTTTTCAAACAAGTTACTACATATTGAGATCAGATATAAAAAATGTATATAAAATTCACTAGGAAAAAGGACAGTATTAGTAATAAAAGTAGAAACCAAATATGGGGCAGATATAGTAATGGAAAAATGTCTTGGTAATTTCCACAGAGACAGTATTATGGTAGAGCTCTGCATTATATTGGACTTATTTTGTATTGGTGTCTAGAAGGATGTACCATTTTCTTGCGTTACAGCCTGGTGTACACCCTGGTGAATGCTGGGCATTCAGTGGTTCCCAGGGTTTTCTTGTTATCAAATTGTCTGGGTTGGTCCAGATCACTGCCTTCAGTCTGGAGCACATTCCCCGCACCCTCTCCCCACATGGCAGGATCGACTCTGCCCCAAAAGACTTCACTATCTGGGTAAGTTCACACATTGCACATCATTTTCATTAAAAAGTATCTTGCATTCTTAAAATAATGGTTTGGTTTGCTTTCTGGAGATGGTAATATGGTATGCCTTGAAGTAACTAACTAACCAACCAACCAACAACCACCACCTTTTATTGAACCCAAGGATTTATTACCATATTCACAAGAGCCCACCATTGGTCCTTTTTCTGAGCCAAATAAATCCAGTCCACACTGAAAGAATCTCAGTCAGGAGTTGGTTACCATCAAGTCTGTTAACAGACGTGTCTCATAACCAGCAGGACCTTTAAGCCAGTGGGTTAAAGCTTTTGTGCACAAGAAGTCATTATAATCTTGATTTTATTTAGTAGGATTGTATACAACTTTTAATGGCATTCATTTTATATATGTATGGTGTATTAGATGCTTTGAATATACAGACTCTTAATACCTGTATTTAAAATATCTATGATACCTTGTACTGATTTTGTGTGAGTTTTCTATTGACCATCACTGAAAAATGCTGTCTTTTGTAATCACATCTCTGCAGGGTCTGAAGGATGTGCAGGACATGGAACCAGTGCTGCTTGGGAAGTACATGTATCAGCAGAATGGCACAAGTCTTCAGAATTTCAGTGTGCAGGCAAGTAGAAGTTATTTGATAAATAAGTACAGATCAGTTCATAGGAATGTTGGATATTGAGCTTCTGACTTGAAACAAAAAAGTTATTTATACAGAGACATAGTTTAGAAGATATCGCAGTTTTTAGTTTGATTAATATTATTATGATGATGATTTATGAAACTCATAAATGTTGTCTTATTGACCTCCACTGAAGCTGCAAATGGACAAACATACAGGTTTCTGTATATGTTTATTTTCATTTGTTTGTCATATATAAATGAAACATAACACTTTACATATTTTTAACTTAAGCAGTATGTGGAGCTGAGTAGCTGACTTATACTCTGATAGCCTTGGCACCTTGGGCAGTAATTCCTACTGCCCAATGAATAAGAGGTTGGGTGGGCCCAAGGCACATGTAGTTATTGAAGGGTAAAACTTGATAAGAAACTGACTTGAGTATTATGGTTGTTCATTACCCTATAACAAGTTGATTCTCATTTATGTGTTCTAAGGTATGTGATCCAGGATTGATACATTTTCCTTAGTAAAGTGAAGTATTTATTTATAATGTATCCTGTGTAATTAAAATGTAAATTTTTAATAAATACCCAGTAATACAAGTTTGGAAGGCCTCATGGAATATATTGGTGATTGTAATAAATTCTTCTCGGGTTACCAGCCATGTAAGGTGATGATTCTTTGATTATCATGAGAAACAGATTTTCATCTGTACATTTCCAAATGTTTAATAAGCTTGTTAACTTTTTTGTACAGCGTTCAGATGTTGACCCGTTTGAGTTTGTGGAGCTCCGTATTGAATCTAATCATGGAAATATGGAATATACCTGCTTATACAGGTTTCGAGTGCATGGGGTTCTCTTCTCCAAGTGACTCCCACCATCGGGACTTAATCCTCACACTGTGTAGTAAGATATTTGACTCCATATGTATGATGATCTCTTTCAATCTCACTCTAACTCAATGCTCAGAATAGTTTGAAATGGCTTTTAATTAGACAAATTTCTTGTTCTGTGTATCCTTTCTAAGGATTCTGGCTTCTGTATCATATTTTATTATGTGTATAGCAGATCATTTACCATTATTGTGAGTTATGCTTCTAACCTAAAATAGCTTGTAAATTTATTTTTCCTTGGGAACTATGCTTAATCAGTACAGATGGTTATTTTCTTCACATCAAAATCAGTTGTGCCCAGTCTGGTCTGCTTTTTCATTGTGGTTTTGTTTCAGAAATAGGATAATGAACAAAGATGTTTAAATAAAAATAATTTCAACTTCATTAATCTAGTACAGGTGTAGTTGGACAATAATAATGTTCATTTGTTGTAGGCTGTAATGTATATATAACATAAAAAATTAGCTGTGGCATATTATTTATGAGCCATGGAAACGGTGCCAGCAATATAAGAGTAGTTTCAAAGATACAGACTGGAATGCAGTGCTATCTGGATACACAGATGTTCAAATCATCAGTCCTGTATTTAGTTATATTACTATCATTTTGTGATGTTTCTGCCCTTTCGAGTTATATAGACTGAGAGAAAGTTGGGCACTTCTGATGCAGTATGATTTATTTGTACATCCTGAGTTCAGAATTTCTAGACTTGTCATGTGACAAATCAGTCATTTCTTCAAAACTTCATAAAAATATATTTCAATAAATTTATTCACGTATGTTGAAAAGTGAATCTGTGATTGCCTGTGTCTTGGTTTTGTGTAATTTCTGAGCATTGTAGGTTGTTGAAATTTTAAGTTAAAAGGACAGACTGATTTAGTGTTCGGAACGAAGTGAGGAGTTCTTTCTTGCCTGCCACTGGATTTCTCAACCAGTCATTCTGCCATAGTACAAAGACAACTGTGTTCGTTCTTTGAAAGTTATTTATTTTTTTTAACAATAAATGTGACAATTGTTGCACAAATGAACAAAGACATGAGTGTGTTTGTGATGTGATACTAGAGTATAAGTGAAATGTAGTGTACAGTTTTAAGTATTTAGCCATTGAACGGAGGACAGCTGTTTCACATGAAGCTAGTCAGAGGGGGCTGTGTCCTGCTGTTTGGCCATGACAACTGGCTAGCTGGCAGCTTCATTTCTCTCTTCTTTCATTTAGTCTGATTTCCTCAGTATTTGTATCACTCTTATCTTCAGTCATGAATCCTTTTATGAGTATGTGGTTATGTAACTAGAGTGAGAGTTTATGAATGATAGCATCCCAGTAACTCTTATTAATAGAAACTTGTTACCGAAAGAATAATGCAAAATGAAGTAGAAATGCACTAACCTTGCTCATGAAAGTGTTTATAAGAACTAGATTTTTTTAACTTCACATTATTTATCTTCATATTTAATTATTATTTCATTATTTTACTGTTACTTCTTTCTTTTAATCTTTGTGTAACCTATAGTTATTGAAAAGTTTGCTGTTGTTGGTGAATCCACCTGTTGACATCTTTGTTTTAAAGAACTTTAGTTCATCTAACAATAGTAGCTAGCCAAAAATAAATGTTTATATTTTCATTTCAAATAAATATATAAATATAAATACTTAGGCATTGTTGCTAGTTATTAACAGTCAGTCATATTATGTGATTGTTTCCTTTATTCTTGTTACCAAATATTGTATGCTTCAGCTTTATTGCACATCTAACATCAGAGAGAGAGTACAAAGTAATATTTGAAAAAAAAATTTACCTGTCAATAATTATGTAATTTGATAGTTTATATTCCTAGTAGATGAATGAGAAATATTTTAATGTTGAAAAATTCTTAAGAAATTGTGTATGTTTTATTGTCTTGACAATTCATGATTTTCCTAGTCCAGCCAGCCGGTTGATTTTTGTTATTTTTGACACTGGGTAATTTTGTGCAAGTTAGTAAAAGTCACACATTGTGTTTGTGATTTATAGACATGGCCTGTGACATAGTTAATATTTATAAGCCCACTTGAATAATCTAGAGATTAAATATTTGTAATTATTCATTCATGTATACATGTATTCCATATATCTACATAAGGCTGTGGCAGACTTTGAAAAGGGTCTATTGTTCATGTTCGTAGTTACCTCATATATTTTCTGAGCAATGGACAAGAAGTTTGTCACAGAAATTAAAATTTTTGTGTTATTTTGGTTCCTGATTGCCACTAGATTAGCTATGTCACTGTCCAACATAGTTTGCAAACCTGTTGTGGTGCTAGACTTAGAATTAGTTATATATTTTGATTAAAATGTTAAAGGAAGCAGAGAGTTGGACAAAAAATTAAAATATTGTACTTTTAATACTTAAAGGTTTGTGGTTTCATATCTAACTTACATAATTTAATAAGAAAAGTATATGTATTTTAGCGTGAAAACTGTGAATTCAACTGAAGTCCCATTAGTTGTGCTCAATAACTGTTATACATTGGTATTCTTGACATTAATATTGTCTTGTTTTAATTACAAGATTCAAGTCCTGGTGAAAATAAGCTCCAAAGTTGTTATGAAGTTCAAATATCCATGATTTATGCAAGTGTGTGTGCAAATTTTAGTCCATTCTTTCACACAGTATCACAGTGTATGTTGAACATATTTATTTTTAGCATGATCAGCATATTCTAATAAAATCTGCTATAATGTTTTTCCAATAATTTTCAGTAGTTAATTATGACCATTTATTCTAATTAATTTTAACAGTTGATACTGCACTGTTAGGCTTTACCTTAAGGTCTGTGTGTGTGTACATGCACAGACTGAAGAATACCTTGAGGAATTACTAAGAGTGCTGTCCTATATTTCATCTTTTAACCTTTGTCTGTTTATAACATTTGATATAAAAAAAATCCATATTTACAAATCATGAATTTGATTTGTATTGGTAAACTACGATTAGCACACCACATGGTCATTAAGCATGGATCTTCCATCCCTTACTGTAGCTATGAATACCACCTAGGCATGAATGTTGTGTGTATTGTTCACCACTACTAATTTTCCTGCACACTGCTGCCATTCCTCCCCCTCCCCAGCAGTTCCAGCAGCATCCCATTCAAATCAAAGAAAACTGTGACCAAGTATTGCTAGGAGGTTATTCATAGGGTTTGGGGCAGGTGGTTGTTGCAGCAAGGCCCTTGAGGGGAGGAACAAGTGTGTATGTATAGAAAGTAACTGTACAGTACATAAATTTTAAGTTGTGTACATTTTATCATATATTGAATTATTTTTGATAAATTTTATTGAACATCTTTTTAAGCATTAGCAATTTGTTGACACTAAGTATGCATCTTTCCATTGATGTTTACATTTATTTTACTAGTCAGAATTTTGAAAACTAAAAATTTCAAGGGGCAACAGTTTTCAGGGTATTTTGCATACATTTTGAGAATTCTTTTCAGCCTTCAGTTCAAGAATGGTATAAACTTCAGTATTATATTCATAGGAGAGTGTGTTTATTAGAATGAACTCAAAGACGAACAGATGAAAGCAGAACGTCATCCTTGTTTCCTTATATGGCAAGCATCTTGTTCTAGTAGCATGATCTAATCAAGTCTAAATTTCAGTGTTGGTAGTTTAAATGATCACTGGAATATTGGTAGCTTCAAATATTCTAGATGCTGCTAATTCTGAATACCCATTTATAGTTTTTTATGTAGCTTGTTATATTCTCTACAGTTTGATGTGAAAATAGTGTACACAAAGTGGGGTATGAAGTTGTATAAGTTCTTCATTTTTCAACAACCATCTTTATAGTAAGAAAACAACATAGATTTCTTGATGAGACTCTTTAAAATACAGTTCAAGTTTTTAAACTGTATTCTAGAATTTATAAAATTCATTAATCAAAAGTCTATTGAGCATGTGTGTTACTATGGGACTTGTACAAGTATGTTTGGATCACATGTGTAGTCCAGCTGTTGGTTTGTATTTAATCCATTCACAAAATCAAAAGATAATTTAACATCTAATATTAAATATCTTCAAAGAAGAATGTATATTTTGCACCCATTAAAATAATTTCATAATTTGAGCATTGTTTTATTTTCTGATAACACTACAACATTCAACTTAATATGTACAATTTGTCATCCCATATTTGAAGTTTTTCACTTTCTTGCAATGTGTGCCATTAATCATTTACCCTACCTTTGGATTACATTGGTCTTGTCCATAAGTTACTTTGCTAGTTCTGTTTATAAACCATCACTTATGATTGCCAACATGAGAAATAAATCTGCCTTTCATTGTCATCTGATGACTAGAACAGGTACTTTACCCTAATAGGAACATACAATGATTTGTGTAAGGCATGTATATTAAATTCATGCTTACCTGTTCTGGAATGAACACAATTTGTTCATGGTAAGTGGCAAAAGAATGTCATACTGTATAAACCATTTGTACTACTATCAAAATGTGTGGTTAAACATGCCAGCACCCCTCCCCGCTACAAAGTGCTACATTATAAGCCACAGGTCATATTTTATATAGCACTTGTACTCTAAAGTCTCTAACTTCACTAGTAACTCAAAATTCCACAGTAACCGTAGGTTTCATTATGTATCAACCATGTTTTGTGTTTTAGGGTCAGGGTACATAAATATACATGTGTGAACATTACAGATATAGATCCATTAAACATATTGTGGCATAGATGCCACGTTCATATAAACCATTAAGTGTAAAACATAAATTAATAATAAGTTCATTTTCGTGACAGTATCAGTGGCTGAGTTGTGCAGCATTAAAGAATGTTATGTAATCAGGGCCACCGAGTATTTAGAACTTTATTATACAACATACAATGTAATTTTATTTTGTATTTGAAAAGAATCCTATTAAATTTTATGAGATCAGCCAATTTCAAGCACTGTACATTGCCATGGTATTGTTGGGAGAAAACTTAGTTCAGAAATGTTTGTAGGTCGGGATACTCTACATTTGTAAGCCGCCTTGGTCGCGCGTGCGTGTTTGTTTGTGTGTGTGTGTATGTATGTATGTATGTGTGTATATATATATATATATATATGTATGTGTGTGTGGAAAAAAAAGTCATGGACAGTAAGCAGAGTTATCATTAACTACCACAGTATAGTTGGTATTCAATTGAAAATGAATAATACCTCTATTTCCCCACACAACTCAGATTATAATCTCTTAATATGCCTCTAATGCACTGACTATCAAAAGTACTTTACATCAACAGCTCTGTAAACCAGCAATAAATTATGTTAAAAATGAACATTTTAATCAATACAAGTTATTGAAGTCCTTAGTCAACTTATTATTAGCCAGGACATAAAAATTAAGTTCGTTCTACATCAGCTATATGCATACGAACCATTAAAAACCTACTTATTGATCCCTCTGCCACCGAGCGATGGAAATATATTAAAACATCTTTCATCATAGTGTTGGAGGGACATTTTGATTTTGAGTTCGAAGGCATGCAGGCAGAGGAAGTTAATATTTTTGTGAGCAGGCAGACAAAAGAATTAAGTTGTTAAATTTAATGGTAAACATCCACAACAATTGTTTATTTGGGCAAGTGTTGCTTAATCTGCATTTTAGAACATGATATACCCACCTTTCGCATACGAATCCTCCCCTTCCACAAGCGAACGGGTATTCAGCGTGGTCAACCCTCAGGAATTTAATGTCCCGTGAAACGAGTATAATGGCGCCTTGCTGGGTAGTACTTCATGGTGATGCTGTCAAAAAAATAGTAATAGAATTTAATTTATTTCCGTACGCTTAGTTTCTTGGTTTTAGAAACTAGTACTGCTTATACTTCTGCGTTGTAGCATCTTCACTATAATTAAATATAAAAATTAGTAAATAAATTTATAGGTTATTTCAGATTGTTTTAAGGTTATATAATATTTTTGCTACATCAGTGTAAAATGCTTGTTACTGTTATATTAATAAGTAGAATCTGAAGATGGAAATGTCCGATGAAGATGTAATAGATGTCCAGGATCACTGTTCAAAGCTAAAACCAAAGAAGAAGTCATTGTGTAGCTTAATGCAAAAGAAGACCAAGGTTGGTTGCCTTTCAGCTGAATCAGAAGAATTGAGCTTGCAAGATAATATTCAGAGTAACTTGTCCATAACACAGAAAGATAAGAAAGATGATTCTAGTACCATTGTATCACCAGTTAAGAAAAACAGTAGCACAGCTAAATCAGAAGACAGTCAAAACAAAGATGGTTCAAGGGAAGAACAAGAGATTTGTCGCTTGGGATCACCAAGAGATTTTAGCAATAGTACTAAATTGTCCCTCTGTTGTGCTATGACAGAGAGTTCTAGATCTTTGAATCATCAACATAGTTCTAATTACCATCGCAGTAATAATACAGAGAGGAGCAATCAGAATGATCAAAGTATACCAGCAGCTGCATTTTGTGATACAGAAGACATGAACATAAAAATGCAAAATGTAGGTAAAGCCTCATCTGTTGATGAGAGAACATTGTCTGCTGCTTGTTCAAGGGAAGTAGGCACTGAATCACATCAGCAGGAGATTTGTTCTCGAAGTGTGCCTGTTTCGAGACAGCCTTCCCTGAGAATATCACACTCTCCTTCACCAAGTGAAGTATCTTCATGTGAGTCAACTCCCCCAATGCAGACACCATCACAAGCTCAACTTCGGAGTCGTTTGCTATCGCATCGCCGCTCAGCTGACAACCTCCTACTTTCCTCGTCTTCTTACCCTTCACCTTCTCTTCGTCACTCGTCTCCTGACTCTAGCCAAAGTGCTCCAGATCCCATTCGAGGCTACAAGAAGAGGTCATCTTCTCATGATACCATGTTGCCTCCACATCGGAATGGAAAGGATGGGAGGGTGTCTGTACCTTTCAGAGGCAGCCATGGGAACCTTGGTTCTGAGAATGGTGCTATTTGTGGCATTGTTGCATCCATGGATAGCTTGGCTCGGCACTCTCTGCTTGCTGCACAAGTTCTACATCTCATTCCCACAACAAAGGCCAGAAATAGGTATAAATACTTTTGTATCCGCCCTGACAGAACCAATAAAACAGAATTTTATGAATGCAGCTATATAAATGTATAATTAGATCTTTCACATCCATGGTATTGATCATATTCATACAAGTATTTTGGATTTAGTTTTCTCATTTTCTTCATTCAGTTGATTGCTATCATATTGCATTATGTAACATTATACGACAAAATCTCTTCCCAGTATATTCTTCTATATTAAAAATGATGCATTCCTTAGGTGCAAACAGTGGATTTCATGTACCAGTATTTTTCACAATGATTCTTATGCTTCTGTTGCGTCTTCTTCATAGAGAGCATGTTCTTTTCATTTGGAGTGTGAATAAGAGGACTACATGCCCTGTCCAGGGAGAACCCCTCCTCTCTATTAATGTTGTTAGAATGAAGCTTGATCTGTGTTGCTTCCCTGATAATCCTATCCATGTGTCTGGGTTTCTTGACCAAGATACTGTTGTCATGTAAGACGTTTTGATGGCTCTGGTTGATACTATGTTCAGCCATGGCTGAATTCTTCACATGATAGAGCCAGATTTGGTGATTGTGCTCCTTCACCATGCTTTCAATAGTATGGCCAGTTTATCCAATGAAAACTGTCCTCAACTTGTAGAGTATGCTGTATACACTCAGTGTTCTAAAGGCTGGATAAGATGGAAATTTTCCTCTGCAGAAGCCCTACTGTTGTGAGGTATTTAGATATTACCCTGCTAATAAGATTGTAGAGGGTTTCAATGGAGGGCAGGAAGGCTATTGAATAAGGATCCTCACTAGGTAATTTAAATTTTTGAGGAGGATAGATTCATCATACTTTCTGGCTACCTCAGAATGTCAAACCAACTATGTATCCTACTCTGTAATCCGTGGTTCATTATAGTGGTCAGTTGTGTCCAGCAGAAATACATATATAGATGAACTATTGATTTCAGGAATTTTCTGCATGGTCGCATTGCTGTTACATCTCTGTTAGGTTTAGAAGAACTGGAACGGACTCTTCCACAGCGAGAACTACGGATCTTTGTGGGTACTTGGAATATGAATGGTCAGGTTTGTGGCAGAACATTACAGATAACATCAGTTTCTCTTTATTATATTTATCTGATTATGTATATATTCGTAAAATGTGAAATGTTATTCCAAATTATGAATTTTTGCAAACAGTTTTTGTGATTTCATTTAAGCCCATTGTTTGTCAGTCTGAAAAGAAGTCATGACTGCTGAAAGAGATATGGAATGAAATTCCAGTCCATTTCAAAGACTAGTATTAAGTAATAGAATATGCAAGTTTTGTTCAGAAGGTCAATTTGTTGCTTAATAATAATAACTCTAAGAGTGTTTCTATGATTCTTTTATACTGGACTTAAAATCCTGCTACTTGCGAGGATCAGAGGTGGGTGGAACTGGCTTTAGATCTTTTGCAGTGGCAGGCAGTATTAGCAGTGTTGAACTTTTGGGTTCAACTATCAGAGAAGTAGTAATTTTATGGAGGTATACTTTAATGTCAATAAAAAGTGTAGTGCCTTAAATAACATAAGAAATATTGTAACTTACTAATGCAAAAGTTAAAAGACTTGAGCAATATAACCCTTATTCTGGACTGTGTTTGCTCTCATCTCTCTCTTTTTATGGGGGAGGGGGGGAGGCATACACTGTTTTTGGCAGTTTTGGTAGGGATAGCCATTAAAGAACTGTGCTTTTGGTGTTGGTCCATTTAATCATGTTTGCATCCAGGCCTCAATACTAATGTTTTGTGTAGGGTTTTCATCACCCTCACTTCCCACATTAGACTTATGCATTTGGTCTATCCTCATTCAGGTAAAAGCATTTAAGGCCACATTAATTAGATGACTCACTGTTTCATGTAGTGATGTACTTCTGTTGGGGAAAAGCAGTACCTCATGCATACACACATTTATTTTGATCACATCCATCAAGTAAAGGGTTTTTCTGAAAAGACATGTCAGTTTTAATTGTGTAAAATTACCTAACTATATACAAAACATAACTGTATTTGGTGTCTCTGATTTCAGTAGTTTTGGGAGAACGTGCAGTTGTACAAAAATTTTTATGTTTGCTGTAAATGGTGCTGGATGATGATGGTGTACATATTGAAAATGTTTTACATGATTATAAATCTCCCATGACTACTGAACTCAGAGACACCAAATACAGTGATGTTTATTATGTAGTTAGGTAATTATAAGCAATTAAAACTGAAACATCTTTTTATAAAGACCCTGTACACTTGTGGAGGATGAAAATTAATTATCATACTTCTTATTGACAGACTCCACCACCACAGCTTAATGACTTTATGTTGCCTGATGACCTAGAACATGTGCCAGATGTAATTGCTGTTGGCACTCAGGAGAGCTTCTCAGAACGATTTGAGTGGGAGGTGAGCATCCAGGAGACAGTGGGCCCATCACACCTGCTTCTGCACTCAGCCACTCTGGGAACAATTCATCTAGCTATCTTCATTCGCAGGGACCTGCTCTGGTTCTGTTCAGGTTAGCTATCTTTGACCTCTACAAACAGCAAACTCAAACATTTTACCATAGAGAAAAGACAGTTTCCCTCAGTCTAGATAATCACTGAAAGTGTGGTTATGTTTTGTGTGTGTGAGCACATGCACTTACATATTCAGGAAAGTGTTAGGTTGTACCATGGAATATATTCTTTCAACACTTAAGTCGTACCATGGAATATATTCTTTCAACACTCTTGCCCACATGTAATGAAGGTTGCTACATAAGTAATAGTTGTGGACTGTTAAAAGGAAAATATAAATGAGCCACATGAGCATAAATCAGAAGGGAAGAGACCCCTTACCAATAAAATACTTGACATGAATTTTGTAATTGTCTTTCTCATCTGTAGTGGCAACATGAATGTTGAAAATTTCTTCTTTTGTTTCCAAAAGTGAAATGAAGGAATTATGAAAAAAATACAAATAGCCTTAATTGTGAACTTTATAGAATGATGCAGAATATGCCTTAACACTGAAAGTATGATCACTGACAGGATTTCAAACAAAAGAAGACTCCTGTATCAGGTAGGCCATCTATGTCAGTTCAGTATAGCATAAGGATAATGTTAACACTGATAAGTAACAAATGCATGAAGAAGTTGAGAGGTCTCTGTTCATGGAGGATAGATGTGAAGTATACTGTATAAGCAGTTCTGTACAGCTGACAAAGGAGTGGTCTTTCAATTTAGCAGTAAGGCAGGGGCCAACAGCTCATCACTGTGAACAACTATGTTACAAATATTGGTAAACAGCCTTCATATCCTTGCATTGTGTTGTTACATTATAGTTACATTTACGTTGTGTTGTGCAGTGGCTGAAGATTCAAGCTTCAGTGTAAGACCTGGAACTGCCTTCAAGACCAAAGGTGCAGTAGCTATTGGATTCATGGTTTTTGGCACGTCCTACCTATTTATCACTGCACATCTCACTGCTCATCTTGATAAAGTGAAAGAAAGGATTCAGGATGTCAGGAGGATTGTTCGATCTCTTGACTTACCTAAGCAGCTGCCTGTCCGTCACAAGAGCAAGGGTATGGTTCCTTATATTTTGTAATTGTTGATTTTAAAGACAATATGTAAGGTCTTCTATTCAAGTAAAAAGACTGACTGTGGATCTTATTATTGTATATAGCCTTAAACTCAGTTTTTACCACCATAGTTGCCAGGCAGTCTTCCTGTTTTTGTATATATATATATCTGTTTGAAGACTTTCATGAAAACCACTTTTACAATGAGATATTAGGATGCTGAGTAGTTTGATAGTTGGTTACTGACATTTTGGAGAAACACCAGTAACCACCTACAAGACTATGTAATTTCACATTGAGAAAGAATAAAATAAATGTATTTTTGTATTATATGAGAATGGAGTATAGAATTAAAAATTATAGGATTCTTCATTTTTGCGGCAGGGCAGTGTGAAAGCATAAATCATGTCTCTTTAGTGATTTTTTTTTTTCCTGCAGTCCTGTGCCCTGCTGAAGCAGTTCTGATACTTTTCTTTTGGGATGTTGTTCACTTTCTGTGTCATATTTTGAATGGCTTCTGACACTTCCTGAAATCTGTTTCACTTTTGAGATTGATCTAAGGGAGCCACATTATGAAGAGAGATAGATAACACTAGTTTCAAATTGTATCTAGTTGTGGGATTTGTTGCTATGAGGTGTTGAGCCTTCAACTTGTACTCCCATGCCACCATAGTGTCAGTTATATAGTTCTATCTTATACATTGGAAATGATGTCCTTATACTCTCAGGCAATCATGGGTTGACATGGTTTCAGCCCTTTCATGGAATAGATTAATACAAGTATCCAAGAGAGATATGAACTTGAGGTAATTTGAGGAAGGATGAAGGAACACTTAAGAATCTTTAGTAGAAGAATACCATAGTATTATGATGATTACAGAATTGTAGGAGAACTAAAATGTTTTAAAAAAATAACCAGTTCAAGAGGAATCATTATAACGATTATGAATAAATTCCTGAATGATCTATTCCAGGAATCCTGTTCCACAGATATTTATTTGGCTTTTTGAACAGTCTGAAGTATGCAATTCAAATTTGAGATTTGATTCATTTTTACAAAAAGGATGTGTTACATTCCAGTTTTGGTTAGTGGCCCTGTGCAAGTTCCTTCATTTGTTGCAGATGAATATAAATTAAATTAACCGTACAGAAAAAGGAATACTTATGCAATAGAGCAGGAGTCCAAGGATTCCTGAGGGAAGATAAATTCCAAATGTTTCATTAATGTTGCCCATTTTTTTGTAGATGTGACACAGAATTTTGACTGTGTATTCTGGTGTGGTGACCTTAACTTCCGGTTATTACAACCTCGAGATGAAGTGGTTCAGTGGGTAGCAGAGCAGAGATTTCCTGTGCCTCATCCTCTTACTCTTCAGAGTGACCAATTGCGTAACAGCCGCATTGAAGGTAGACAGGAACAAATAAAAGCTAACAGTACTTGCTAGCTGTTTCCTTGAGTTATTGTGTTATGTTAACCCAGTGGTGGCTCAAGTAAGATAAGTGGTGGAGATAATTTGAATCTGTGGCCCAGTTATCTCTCTTCTATTATGCACTTGTTATTGCTGGTTCTAAAGTATGATTAAATTTAATTAATAATGCAGTTAATTTCTAATTATTTATTAAAAAATTAATTATATACAAGCATTTCTAATTTATTAAAAAATTAATTATATACAAGCTAGAAGAGTCATTTAACACACTTTATACAAATCAAATATATTTCAGGCCAGGCTGTAGTTGACCTGGGCTGGTCCAGGGCAGGCTCCTGGTGTTTCTATAGTGTTAGAGTGTTGCCTTGGCACTTATTTTAAAAATAGTGATGTGGAAAATTGTCCTGTAGAACCATAACTGATATACAAATAATTTGCCATTTCATTGATAGTCATCTTTCTGTTGTCAAGAATCAGCTTGTAGACTTATTCAGTGTTCCCTGTAGTTATGGATTTGGACCTGTGCCCTGATTGTTCTTTATTGTTGGAACTTGTTCAGCTAATTTTAAACATGCCAGGTCCACTCGTATGTGCTTCACTGTGGCAAAACACTGTCACCATTCTCTACTGATAGTCTGCAGTAGGCCATTCTCACGTCTTTCTGCATTCTGTCCAATTCATCACTCACAGTTATCCCACAGTTTGATGCAGTATAATGTAGTCAGGTGAAAAAGTGTTGTTAAATAAACTAATAGTCAGTTAATAATAATCATAGTAAATTAGGTTTGTAAAACTACAGAAACACAAAATAATAGCAGTTAGATTACAAAATTATGAAATGAATACTGTTTCCAGGCTCAATATTCCGGGACTTTGAAGAAGGTCCTATCACTTTTCCACCTACTTATAAATATGATCCTGGGACCCAGCGGTTTGACACCTCGCATAAGCAACGTGCCCCTGCCTATACTGACCGCATACTATTCAAGTCAAAGGGTTCATCCCATCGCCGTGATTTGTCTGGCAGTACCAGCGTGGGGCTTCTAGAATGTCTAATGTATACATCTGTACCCTCCATATGCACATCAGACCATAAGCCTGTGTGGGGGCTGTATCGCAGTACTGTGCGTCCGGGAGTAGACACGTGGGTACCTTATGAGCTTTTTAATATAAAAATTTGCTAGTTAGGAATCATTTAAGAAAGACTTCTTCCTGTATTTAAACATTCATATTGCTGTTGTTTTGTTTTAATATATTGAAAAAATGAAAATTGCAGAATTTGCCTAGAAGTTTATGTAGAGTACTTGACAACAAATCACCTTTCCTTTAAGTCACTTATGTCAACCGTATGGATTTCAAGATTTGCAGCTTCTTTGGACTTTTTAAGTGACAAAAATCATTGTGCTGAAAGTAAATGTCATTCATGTTCACCCACAGGTAAATTACCAATTGGACTGAAGCTTAGTAGTAATTTTAAAAATTTATTTTAGAGTAGCTTTAATTTTTTAATCTGTTGTAGCAACGTATTCAATATGCTGGTCCAGTAGTTCTCAACTAACACTTTTATGAGTAGAAAAGATACCATTGTTACTTTACTGTACAGAAAAATGTTACAGCCATATCAGTGAACCTGTATTCCATTGCCATAAACAGAAAATCTGTCATGGCTGCATTCAGTTTTAAATAACATTGTGTATGCTCCAGCACATATACAAGGCACTTTAATCATTGGATGTGGAAAAATCATGAGGTACTGGGCTTACCTGCTGTACAAAAAAGAGAAAAAGGAGAAGAAACAGCATGATTTGATTTAGATATTACATTTAAAACTGGTTGCATATGACGGTTTTGTTTTGATATATATATATGTACCAAAGAACTGCTGTGCTGATCCATATTGAATATGAATTCATACTTCAAAGGATTAAATAGTTCTTACATTTTTAAGTCAAATATATTCTTGTTATGGTATGATGCAGAATTCCGCTCGCAGCTGGTCTCTTCAACCGTGAAGTATATCTTGAAGGCATTAGACGGCGAGCAGCTGCAATGGACAAACGGAAAGGAAAATCAACCATTTGTTCTATTCAGTGAAAATGATCTTGCACACCAGTACTGTGCAGTCAACTTCTTCTAAATAAATATGAAGGGTAAATTTAGGAGCTGAAGGATCTGTTTTAAGTAGTTGTTAAACTATGACATAGGTGCCTGCTTGTTTGTATTCCCATGATTTTAGTTACCTGTGTTAGCAATTTTGCCATAGGTAAATGTGATCAATATTAAAGAGTTTTTCTTTTTTCCACTGATCCCTTACATTGGTAAAGTGTAAATTGTTATTTCATGAGTTCATTATATTTTCAGAGCCTGATTTATGATGGGAAAGAAATTTTGAAATTTTCTGCTGATATGTGCTAAATTAAAGTACAGTAAAATTTCTGTTTTCATATCTTATCATCATGTGCATATGTAAAGTTGAAATTTACCATGTCACATCTTTTTATTTGCAGGAACTTCTTCCACGTTATTTATACATATAGCATCACTATTGGGTAACTTCTCCATTTTTATGGCTTTTTAAATTGATATCACAATGAAAACAAACCCTACTAAATGTTTCAACTTGTAATACAATGTACCATGATATTACATTTGCAGCTGTATGTACTTATAACTTTGGTGATGACTTTCCTTGAAAATAATGGTGCCACATTGTCAGCTGTGATGTTGGTCGTTCTGTTTCTTGCATGAAGGTAGGCCTCACTTCAAATGTCCTGAGATGGTAATTCTTCACTGTAAATTTTGAAGTTGACCACTATGTTAAATTATATTGATATTTAAAGTTCTGCACAAGTAAAACTTGAAATTATTTTTTGGTTAAATGCTAATTCAAGGCACATGAAACTAAAGTAATTGGACCGTATTTATATGGAAGTGTGGTAGGACTGCATAGGTCATATCTTTCAAGGTAACACATGAGAGATATTATGTTGCTGAAGTCTATGCTCCTGTTGTGAACCAGGCTTTAAAAGGTGTGTTTTACCAAAAGACACAAAATAATAAGTAGTTTAACGTAGGCCTACTCTTAACATTTTTCTTGCCATAAGCATTGTAGTAAATGGTATTTGCAGCATGAGTTTGAAATGTCCTTTTTTGTGTGTGTTTCTTGGGTAATATTCAATTAAAGTGGTTAATAAATGTAAAGATTCAGCAGACATAAAATGAGAAAAGCAGTCAAAATATTACATTATATGAACTCTCTCAGTGGTCACTGGTAAATGAGATTGTCATAATGATATGTTGCACATATGGCCAGATTTACTTTCCAACATTGTTGTGCTACTCTAGTATTTATGAAATGTTCAAAAGTGACATATTTTATATATAAGATCCTTTTATATAATTGTAGGTTTAATTGACTCATGTTACTTTAGGTATATATTTATAATGAGATGGGAATTTTGTCAATGTGATACTGCAATAATTTTCCACAAACTGTTATTGTATTGTGTAGGGCTGCCAATGCTCTTTGTGATTACTCTTGTAAATCTAATATTTTCTTACTGATAAAGGCTTGTATGATTTGATTATATTACTTTGTTACCAGACACACATCACAAAGAACAGGTAACTTAATGTGGGAAAGTCCTATGTTATTACATGCTGACATGCAAGACTTTTTTTTCTCTATTTAACTTTTTCAAATTTGGGTGCTTATTATAATGGGCAAATATGATAAAACGTGGACATAGTTCATACGTTTAGTTCTGGAACCAATAGTCCCTTTTGTACTTGGAAACATCAAATGTTATTTAAAGAAATTTATAATGCATTGAAACTGCATTTCTGTAAAATTGCATCAGATTTATAACTTGTAGTGATTTGTTGTTGTTGTTTTATAATTATTATTTGGATTTTCTAGATTCCTGTATGGAGAATCCATGTCAGTAACATCAAGTTATTGCCATGTGTTAGGATTGACAATCCTGAACATAAATGTTTCCTTTAACTAACCTGGATGCTTTTCTTAAATGTCTGCATTACCACAAGAAACAATGTAATTTAAATTTCTGCAAGTATTTTGTAGATTCTTATTTTGCTGAATTTTTCCATTTGCACCCATTGTTCAAAATGTGTATCCCAAGTCAGTCTCCTTCTGTTGTGCCATTCCATACAGTGCAAGTACTGACTTTGAATTTCTTTGATGTAATAATCTTGTCACAAACTTGTGTATATGTAGGAATTATATAACTTCATATATATAGTGTTCATATTTTGTTCCTTGTAAATATTTATTGTAGTAGCTGAGTGTTTTCATCCACGAGAAAATAAAATGTTGGCAGTGTTTTCGTTCATTAATAGTAGTGTAGTAAGTAAGAATTGTACCATAAAGATGTATGAGGGAGTGAAGGTATAATTCACATATTCATAATCTCTGAACTAGATGGAGGATCAGCTTTATGCTGTGGCCACTTTATCTCCATGAAAGTGCCTGAATTATTCATAGGATAGGAGTCAAGGTGGATCCCAGAGCCAGTCTGGATGCAGTAAAGAAGAAGAACATTGTTGTTGATAATCTAGCTCACCCAGCCCATAATGACAGAGCTATCCCAGTTTACATATTACTACAGTTGAATCCTTTATTTGTAAATAGCAGTACAATGGAGTCCCTTCCAATGAGTCCAAATGGTACTGAATAAGTGTTGGCAATATTAGTACAAGTTCCCATAGACGCTTGAAAGGATTTTATGTCGTGTGATGTTAAATGAGAACATTTCCAAGGATAAAGGAATGCAGGTTCATTCTCCTGCTATTAAAAATTATTGTATCTGTACACAAGCAGATATACATAAAAGTTCTGAATAGAAAGTTCAATCATATCATCTGTTTGTCATTATCGGTGCTTGCAGTCGGGGTGGGAAACCATGTAGCATCTTTTTTGAAGGATGTGAAACAATTTCCTTTTAATTTCTCATTAGAATTAATGAATAAATATTGAAAATATTATATGCAATACTGCAATTGCACTTATTTAATGACAAATTTAAACATTAAGAGTCATGAGACATAATTTAGACTATTACATATTATTATTTATGTAAAAATAAATATAATATCCACACTTATATAAAATTATCATGTGTTATAGTAGCACCTTGAATTCTTTGTAATAAGAGTATATGCAAGTAATTTCAATTTAGTTTGCTTATAAAATGTTATTGATAATATGTTAATGTCATAGTTCATCTACATTCCTCAGGTTTAATTATATGAAGATTGATTCGATTTAAATTTTCATATAAGCAATATTTCTTAACGATACTTACATAAGGCAAACTGTATTACAGCACTCATCAACAATTACTTTTGACCCAGCTCCCAGTTAAAAATAATTTACCTCAAACAATGTGATGTAAATTTGTATAACATTTTCCCAGATTGTGGGACATTGATGTAAGTCTAAAGATGGGTAATGACATTTATGAAGAGTATTATTTTTAGACTCCCAACCATTTCTGAAGACCTGTGACAAAGATGAACTGTGTCATTATGAATAGACGAATAACTATATATCTCGCACAGCACTACCTTATTGTTATTTTTATTATTATACTGTTTTAAGGTATCAAGAATCAGTCAGTTTTGAACATAAATTACAATTCTTATTAAAGTCTGTAATCTGCTTTGTGAAGGTAGAGAGACTGAAGTGTAGCAGGAAATTAACTGAGAAGATGTGTGAGACATGTTTTCTTATCATGCCTTGCGTATGACACCCCTGTCTGTGACGTAACTACTGTACTTTTTACTACTACCTATTGCCTTATTATAAGAACATTTGAGCCTGGCTGTGACATTGATTTTATTAAGAACCCTCTTAAGGACTGGTTTCACTAAAACTTGTAATTTTAAAACAAAACTTTGGTATATTTATCATATTTAACAAAGAACTGCCCACAACTGAACTTTTGTATTAAAGTTATAGATTTTATAGTACAGATGATGACGTTCCAATAAGGTTTATCTGCAAACAGTGCCTTTCACACCCATGCTTGAGAAAGTTATAATAAAATCATGAATATACTTCAGTGGCAGTTAATGGTCTGGAAAGTTTTTCCTCTGAACATTATGAGAATATGTGAATCATCTTCCTTTTTATTCAGTCAAATTTATTTTTGGAAATATGTCTTAAGTAGTCTTATTCTGTAGATGATTTCAGAGCCTGCCATTCCATGCCATGCCAAGTGGTGCAATATATGACATCATGAAGATTTCTGTCTTCTGGGTTGTTGCGCTGTGTAGTCTGGTAGATGTTGCTTATAAAATGTTATTGATAATATGTTAATGTCATAGTTCATCTACATTCCTCAGGTTTAATTATATGAAGATTGATTCGATTTAAATTTTCATATAAGCAATATTTCTTAACGATACTTACATAAGGCAAACTGTATTACAGCACTCATCAACAATTACTTTTGACCCAGCTCCCAGTTAAAAATAATTTACCTCAAACAATGTGATGTAAATTTGTATAACATTTTCCCAGATTGTGGGACATTGATGTAAGTCTAAAGATGGGTAATGACATTTATGAAGAGTATTATTTTTAGACTCCCAACCATTTCTGAAGACCTGTGACAAAGATGAACTGTGTCATTATGAATAGACGAATAACTATATATCTCGCACAGCACTACCTTATTGTTATTTTTATTATTATACTGTTTTAAGGTATCAAGAATCAGTCAGTTTTGAACATAAATTACAATTCTTATTAAAGTCTGTAATCTGCTTTGTGAAGGTAGAGAGACTGAAGTGTAGCAGGAAATTAACTGAGAAGATGTGTGAGACATGTTTTCTTATCATGCCTTGCGTATGACACCCCTGTCTGTGACGTAACTACTGTACTTTTTACTACTACCTATTGCCTTATTATAAGAACATTTGAGCCTGGCTGTGACATTGATTTTATTAAGAACCCTCTTAAGGACTGGTTTCACTAAAACTTGTAATTTTAAAACAAAACTTTGGTATATTTATCATATTTAACAAAGAACTGCCCACAACTGAACTTTTGTATTAAAGTTATAGATTTTATAGTACAGATGATGACGTTCCAATAAGGTTTATCTGCAAACAGTGCCTTTCACACCCATGCTTGAGAAAGTTATAATAAAATCATGAATATACTTCAGTGGCAGTTAATGGTCTGGAAAGTTTTTCCTCTGAACATTATGAGAATATGTGAATCATCTTCCTTTTTATTCAGTCAAATTTATTTTTGGAAATATGTCTTAAGTAGTCTTATTCTGTAGATGATTTCAGAGCCTGCCATTCCATGCCATGCCAAGTGGTGCAATATATGACATCATGAAGATTTCTGTCTTCTGGGTTGTTGCGCTGTGTAGTCTGGTAGATGTTTACCAACGTTTCGGAGGTCATACTGCCTCCGTCATCAGAGTATGAAGATATCTGTCTTCTGGGTTGTTGCGCTGTGTAGTCTGGTAGATGTTACCCAACGTTTCAGAGGTCATACTGCCTCCATCATCAGGACGATAAGTATGAAGATTTCTGTCTTCTGGGTTGTTGCACAGTGTAGTCTGGTAGATGTTTAGCAACGTTTCTGAGGTCATACTGCCTCCGTCATCAGGGCGATTCATCGTTGGTAAACATTGACCAGACTACGCAGCGCAACAACCCAGAAGTCAGAAATATTCATACTCACCGCTGTGAAAACCTCAAATCTTATATGTGACATTATCTTACTGATTTCTTCATATTACATCCTGTGGCATTCTGCATCATTACATATATTCTCATTGTATATTTTCAGTCATTAAGAAACTACTGAAAATTGTGGCAGTGCCATTAAAACTTGGACTATTGATTCAGAAGGTAGTTATAACAGTAAAAATGTTGTAGAAACAATAGCTTGTTTTAATCTCTCTAAAAAATAAAGGTTGAAAAATGTATATTTGACTTGAAAGAACAATTACAAGACAGAAGATGTTGTTTATCATGGACAAAGATAGTTTGTGGTTATGATCCATTGAAGGGTGGTAAATAAGACTAGATGAGTAACTCTAACTTCTCTAGAATGATTCTGCTGATTTCAGTTTGTTTTATTTAGTTAACCATATCAAATTTTGGTTCCTAAAACCATTGTTATCTTTATCAATTTGTATGAGAACATCATTCAAACAATGCAAACTTCATCTGCTGTGCAAAAGTATATTATAATTTAGCAATGCTACAATCATAATTATGATCAAAAAGTATTAGTGAAAACAGTCCAATTTTTTTTTAAATTAAGTAATCTATTTATTACTGTGTTTTTGTATGTTGTACATTAGTCTACATGTATCTATTCAGTATTAGTGCTCTATTTTACCGTGTTACTGTCTGTTGTTTTGCCATGAATGTAGTACATTGTCTTCAGAGTTTCTGAAATGCTTTTGTTCACTATATTTTGTACATGTCTTTATTCTGTGATAATTGTTACATGCACTCATCTAAAACTAATGCAATAATATACTTAATATTGCCTTCCAGAATTGTCTTAGCATACTTGAAGCTTGATTTTAAGGAGAATCTAACAACAATCCCATGCTCTGATACAAAAATCAGAATTAGGTCCACCACAATATAACAGACCCTCCCAACATCCTTTCTGATATTCAATGTTTTCCTGGTTGCTTGGCCACTTTTCTTGCCAGTTGTGCAAAAGCTGATATTGAATACAAATTCCTGCAATGAAAACGAATTTTTGTCGTAAATACGTCTATACGGAAGGATCATTCGGCAAAACAGCGTTAGGAAAATGTATAAGATCCATACCAACAATGTGTAAATATGGACCGACAATGGTCAGCTGCGTGCATAACAATGCTTTACTCCTTCACCTAAGAAACTAGTTGTTATGTCATCTGTTTACTCGGCATTGTTGTGTTTCATTACTGCCGTCAACAATCCGCTTTCGTTATTGTGGAAAAAGTTGAGCTGTGAATCGCTTGTAGAAGAAGTGCGTCGCGGACTAGGTAATTTTGTGCTGTTAAAAACGTTTTATAATATCGCAATTACTTATCTTATATAAGAATTATTAAGAAATCTGTGATACTGCCCTCAACTCTCTCCATTTTAGTTTTGATTAAATTGGTCATTGCGGGTGGACATCGTGGTCTTTACAATTGAACAAAGTTTGATGTAAGGGATTCCTATTTATTATTATTGTTCATCACATTAAGCGTTAAGCGCCCGCCTTTCGAAAACCGTAAGAGATGGATCTGGACATATCGTACGAAATACTTATTACCTCTGGAGCTTTCCATATCTGTTTTCAGATTTTACATATCACAAATGGTTTAGGTTCTACAAACATTTATTTATACAAATAAAGGCGCAATACAATACCCATTATATTGGCAGGAGATTTTAACATTGATTTAAAGGAGGAAAATCAAAGCTTTGTCACATTTATGGAGGAAACGTTTGGCTTAATGTTGATATCAAATCCTCAATGTAGTACTCTTAGATCAAAATCTTGTATAGATATGGTGTTTGCACGAAATGTTGATACTCTAAATTGTACAAATTTTATAACATATTTCAGCTACCACAGACCCATCTTAAGCGTAACTAATTCAAGTTAAATAAGGAATGTCTTAATCAAACTATTTACTCAATTGTAAAGCATGTATAAAGGGAATATTTAGAATAAAGCTAATATATAAACTTCCTTTCATTGTATTTATTGCCTAAATATAATTTAAATACAAAGGCGTATTCACGTCAGATTCTCCGGAACCGTGGTTCCACTGTCAATTTTCTTTCAAGTTTACACAATCTCAGCTGTCCAAAATGCTTATGAATACTGAGCTTTTCTACCTATGATAAATGATCCAGTACATATTAGTTAAGGAATTTTCGATTGATTGATTTAGATTAATGTTTGTACTTCTTAAAGGAACTGCTGAGAAACCTTTCCTGATATGTAAGAGTGCAGTGAAACTGGTTTTAACTAGTTCACATTGTCATTTTTAAAAGTGGAGTTTCTTTGCAGTATCAGGGATAAAATTGATATTTCATTTTCTTACACTGGTAAGTATGAAGATGACTGTCTTCTAGGATATTATACCATTTATTCTGGTAAAAGTAAAGTAATGCTGTCCCACTATACGCCATGCAAGTGCTTGGGGGAAGAGGTAGTATAGCTCATAATTTGAAATGTCAGCAGTGCTACTTCTATCATTGGGCATTACCCTGATGACTGAGGCAGTAAGTACATCTGAAACCTTGGTTGGTGTCTACCAGACTGCATGGTATATTGTATCGAAGACAATCTTCTTCAAGTTTGTAAAATGATCTTTAGCGGTGAAGGGTGGGTTAAGTAAATTTGATGAAAGTTAACGTTGTTACCGACTGATGGCCAGATTGTTTTTTTAGTAGTTTTGCTACAGATGTGAATAGATGACAGCACAATATATATATATATTCGTACCGACAGAAGCAACATTCGTTGCCAACTTTTAATAATGAGGTAATGTGAACATAGCATTCACGGTTCCGTTGATAACTTCCTTCCTTCTCTTGCCCCACAGATGACATAGCAGTTCCTTCCGTGCCTGCATTTAATATCCCTGCATGTTCCATATTCTATGTAGGTGATTCGTGCTTTGAACGCAGAGCGAGTCTAACTGTTTCAGTACTGGTGCTTCCACCATTTTGTTTATTTTCGAGTTAAATAGGTGGATTGTGAATCAGTGTGTATTTCGAGTTTTTGTATATTTGAAGATCTGAGAATATATAAATTACCTGTAATATATATGGTTCGGTTGTTTCCCCTGGAAACAGGGGGTGAAGAAATCCGCAGACATTGGGCGCATCGCGAGTAAACACGTTAAAGTGACCGTGTCCGGTAAAAACTCCTACAATACAGGGAAAGATCGTGCGGTCACTCTCAGTCTCAAAAAATCCAAAATCCAAAGCCAGATCGCTTCTATTGAAAACATGAATCACGTGAATGACAAAGAAAATGAAAATAATGACGTGGAAGAAATGGACACTCAAGAAGGTAAGAGCGGCGTTAACATTGTTTTATTCGGCGTCCGTCTGTGTGATTTCGCATGGCGGTGTCCATAGTTTGATATTTTAAAGTTTTAATTGTTTTTACTAGTGTTTAAACAGAATTGTATTTAAATGTTGAACCGAATGTTTAGTTTGCTTCAATTACAATTTTTGTTAAACATTTTCTGACCGAAAGTGCGTCAAAGATTCTGTTATTACATATGTTGTAGTCATTTTTGTACTATGCTAAAATGTGTAGTTTTCCTTATAGTCGAGACTGTGGAGACGCCAAATGATGCTGGCGGAGGGGACGGTGGTGGAGAAAATCAGCAATTGAATGGTGAAGCTCAGGATCACTGTGTATCACAGGATGCAGAAATGGAAGAAGGTAATAGTGGTATAATGTTAGAGAATGTGTAGGTATAGTTCATTTCAAGCTCATCTGAGTTCTCAATTTCCTTTTTATAGACGAAGCTCGCTCCGAAGCAACATTTCATTATACTGTACACAACTTCAGCAAATTGAAGGAATCACAGTTGTCTCCTCCATGTTATGTGCGTAACTTACCATGGAAGATCATGGTGATGCCTCGAACCAGCCAGACACAGGACAGACAGACACAAAGAAGTTTGGGTTTCTTCTTGCAGGTAGGTTAATTGAATGTGTATAAACATTCCACATTACCCAAATTTTGTTACAGCCAAATGGAGTTGTACTAGTCCAAACAAATAATGGAGGACTATATCAAATAGGATAGAAGTACATTCCTTCATCTTAGAAGATGCAGACATATTGGATGAAAGTAACATCTTTATTTCTAATATTGTCAGGATTTAGTTACGTACAATTTCCCTTGTGGCATCAGACATATTCTGTAGTTTCTTGCATTTAAGTATTTATTTTAAAATTTGTAATACCTCTATATACATACACAACTCACTTAAACCATTTTGAGTAATGGCATTTACAATGCTGTTTGGTCAAATGTGTGTTCATATGCATACTGTGATGAATGTAGGAGCTGATCTTCTACAAATGTAACTGTGGTGTAAGAAAGAATCTGCTGGAGAAAAGTGATTTTATTGGATTTTTCATGATCATTACCATTCCCAGTGTCATGAGTTATTTTTAAAAAGCTATTTATAGACACCTCTGTCCTGCACACTGGTTATTAGTATGATCCCATTTCAGTATTATGGTATTACTATGAAAGCAATTCGGAATTGCATTTGTTTGTTGTTGGTAGGTCTAGCAGTAATGGTATGTTCCAGCAGTTCTGTCAAGACTTGGTTATTAAAGCTTTGTCTTTTAATATGCTCTGCCATGAGAAGGTTAGGATAATACTTGGGTAGATACTTTAAGAAGTGTATTTATGTTGTTTATACCCTTATTGTGAACATTAGCAGTTTTAACCACAAAAGAATTCCATGTGAAGTTTTTAGAAATATTTAGTCTCTCATAATATGAAACCATATGCAGTAGTTCATTAATTTTCAACAGAATTGGAGTATGTGTTGTGTATATAATAAATGTTTTGTATTTTTGAGTCCTGTTGTGCAGTTTTTCATGACCATGCTGTATTGCCAATGATTCCCTAATATTACTTCAAAGTACTCTATCTGAAAGATGTTTATGCGGTATATTGGAAAGTAATCTGTCATCATACTGAATTTAAGTGCATCTTTCAGCTATAATGGTTCATTGTTTTACCTTCTAACCAGAAATATTTTTGTGGTTTCAGTGCTGTTATATTTTATTTGTGCAGTATTTTTTGGACACTTCTCTGTTCTACTCTCTCCTTTCATCCTATAATTGCTCCTGTCGAGATCAAGAATGAGTAGGAGCTATACCTCCTCTCCCCCCAAGCGTGGGACAGCTTTACTTTTTGTTACTGTTATGTAGGTTCTCTTGTTTGGTCTCGTCTTTTTCTTGGTCATCGTACTTAACAGTTAAGTGTTCTTAATTTTTTTTAAAAGGACCTCTATCATATGGTAATGCAATTTCATTTTATAGTAGGCTAGTTTAGATTCTTTCAGTTTGATTTATTTGTATTTAGATTGTCTGTTAACATTACTGAGTGTACAAAGTATCAATTGAGTTTTGTGTGTTAAATTTCAAATATATGCGTTGATATCTTTGAGCATGCTGACAAATAATCATTTATTACCATTTCCTAATGTTCTGTTGTTTAATAAAAGAGCACACTAATTTTATGTATTCTGAGCAGTGTTTGTTATATACACCTCTGGTGTATTCTTCAGCCTCTTCCATTGTTACGAAAGTGGGAAATTGACAGAGTTTTGGAGTGTGTTGGAATGAACATCACATCTACCATATTGGGAATTGGAGATGAAGAGGAGTAAACACAGCTCCATTTTAACAACATTTTTTTAGGGGACTACCCAGAAAAGCTGTTTCTGGAAATGGATTCAAGTTTTCTTGCAAAAAAATGTTTAATTAGGTTTCATGTTACATCAAAGGAAAACACGTTTAGGACATGAAGCTGCAGCTCTTGAATATATGTATCTAGTAGTTACATTGATTGAAGTTGGTAATTTGTGAGAGGCTAGCACAGCATGGTACCTTTTCCTGAAAACTGAATATGATTTTCTTAAGTGCCTGTTGTAACTCATTCAAAATCTTTCAAACCTGTTCCAACATACATGATAAATATTTAATTGTTACTATATTAGCAGAACGCTTTGAAACTGCTACCAATTTTACTTAAAACAGACATATCTCAAAAATGGAATTAACGAAACTTGAATGTTGGACATTGGACTTTGTTGAAATGGTTTACCTTCCCACCAAAATTGACTGGCTGATTTATGAATTAAAAAAATAGCATTCAACAGAAATCTGGTACACTTTGTATTTTATTTATTATTTGTCATGTCATCTTTGTTTATTAACTGAATGGGTAATACATGCTAGTGGCAAATTTACAACTAACTGGAAGAACTCTCTTTTTTCTCTTGTTATTTTACCATGATTATTGTTATTTGTTCAAAAACTGAAATCAGTGTAGTTTTTATTGAAGTTGTGTGCATTTTTATGGCAAAATTGAGTCTGTCAGAATATAAGATGGAAATAATGTTTGTCAAAATAATTTTGAGTTAGAAGACACTATTTGTCCCCTGAATCATCTATGGACATCAGTAGTAGAGGGTGGTTTTTATGAAACGTCGTATGAGCATTATACTATTTGGAAGAATCTCCATCTTATTAATTTTTTACTTTGTCATGAACAGTTGTAGTGGTGCTGCCATTTTAACTTGTGAAAGTTGC